TGGACAGTTTTAGAGCGTCTGAAAGACGACGTGTTCTGTTCAGTTCAGTTCTGAGAATTTTACCAGTTTAGTCTTTATTGCTCATAACTCCATCACTGCGTTTAGGTGTGAAGATGGTTTGATGTCTTGTGCAGTTCCTGCTGTAGTTCAAGTGTAACTCCATCTCTCACCCTGCAACCATTTTGGCACCACACATCTGTGCTGTGTTCCCATGAGAGGTCAGGAAGAGCTCAGGAAATAACACCCATCCTCAGTGAATGGGCCGTTCCAAACCCACTCTGCACTCCGTAGCCACCATTACAGCCAGGCTTATATGAGAGAGAGGGGGGGGGAGAGAGAGTGAGAGAGAGAGTTGGGAGTAAAGAAAAGAAAGAGGAGAGAATAGAGAAAAGAAGAGAGAATGGATAAAAAGGAGGAGAGAGAGTAGAAAAAGGAGGAGAGAAGGTAGAGAGGAGAGAAAAAGAGAAGAGTGAGAGTAAAGAGGATAGAAAGAGTAGAGAAAAAGGAGGCAAGATTAAAGAAAAGGGGAGAAAGTAGAGAAAAGAGAGAAGAGACAGAGGAGAAAGGAGTAGACAAAAAAGGAGAAAGTGTATGGAAAGAGCAGAGAGGAGAGAGAACAGAGAAAAAGGAGAGAATAGAGAAAGAAGAGAGAGTAGAGAAAATAGGAGGAGAGAGTACAGAAAAAGGAGAAGGGAGAGGAGAGAGTAGAGAAAAAGGAAGAGAGAGACGAGAGAGTACTGTAAAAGGGGAGAGGTAGTAGAGAAAAAAGAGGAGACAGAGAGAGAGAGAGAGAAAAGAGAAGAGAGAAAAAAGGAAAAAAGAGAAGAAAGACAGTAGAGGAAAGAGAAACTAGAGAAAAGAGAAGAGAGAGTCATGGAAAGAGAGAGTAAGGTGGAGAGAAAGAGAGAGAGTAGAAAGAAGAGAAAAGATATTGTAGAGAAAAGAGTGTGAGAAAGCATAAAAATGAGACAGAGAGACAGTAGAGAAAAGAGAGGAGATAACAAAAAAACAACATAATTACACAGTCATGTAATGAATTATATTTACATTCAGTTTAAATTCTGTTAAAAAAAAAAAAATGTAATTTTTTTTCATAATCCTCTTCTACATATAAACACAGTGTTGCCTATTAACAGTTTAGAATCCACACTTCCAGCAGAATCTCTGTTGTGGCTCTGGCTTTGTGTCAATAAGATATGAGCAAGAAATAATTAAACAAGGTGTAAGAAGAAGTGTTTCAAGGCATGTAGGCCATAGGAGGTTCTTTGTTTATACATACAACTTAGGCAGCTAAACAAATAGTTTACAACCGTGTAGTTTAGCAGTATGTGTGTTTATAACTACAGATTAAATACAATAAATAAATACAATAAAAAGTAAAAAGAATTTCTTGTTTTCAAAAAGTGTGAGATGTAAGCTAGTCCGAAGATTCCAGATTTCCAGATTTCTCACTTGAGTCAACTTAATGAAGCATTGATTAGCCAAGCTAGCTATTGGATGGCAGCTAATGGTTAATACTAGGCTTCCAAAAGGTTAGAAACAGTTAGACGAATACATTGACAGACATAAAATCACCACTTATTGTATTAATATTATTTGTAATTTTTCTAATATTAGTGATCTTCTGAGCAAATAAACATGTACTGCCAAATTATATAGCTTTTTAAAGGTCCCATTTTTAAAATAAAAGAGTTTGATGAGTATGTAAACACTGTTTCAAAATATACTGTTTGCTCCCTGGTCCAAACAGTCCAATTACGGAAAACAAGCTGTAAAAACAGGCCACTATTTTTGTGAGGTTACAAAAACCAGCATATTTACATATATCTCCCTTTTCAGCCTGCAGGAATTTTAGCCCCAACCATTTAGACTGACGTTAAAGGAGTGTTTAACTCTAGACCAGTGTTTGAAGGTAGCACAATACAGAGCAATTCAGAAAAGAGCTCATATACATATATGAGTCTTAAAGGCACAGTAACAGAAATAGTCTGTTTAGCTGTAAGGGATAAAGAGAGGTTGGAAAATGGACATGTAGAAATGAAATATTGAAAAATATAAAGAAAATTTCATAGAATACATAAACTAATGCATAAAACTGCCATAACTGGACAAACTTTGCTTTTTGGACGACCAGAAATGTGTATAATGTTAAATATGGCCACACACACACACAAACACACACATCATCTAAACCACTTATCCTTCTGGGTTGCGGTGGGGTGCTGGAGCCTATCCCAGCTGTCATTGGGCGGAAGGCAGGATACACCCTGGACAGGTCGCCAGTCCATCGCAGGGCAGACAGACAGACATACACACACAATCACACACACATTCATACCTAGGGGCAATTTAGCATGTCCAATTGACCTGGCATGTCTTTGGACTATGGGAGGAAACCGGAGTACCCAGAGGAAACTCACGCAGACACGGGGAGAACATGCAAACTCCACACAGAAAGGACCCTGGTCACCCGGCCGGGAATCAAACCCAGGCCCTCCTTGCTGTGAGGCGACAGCGCTACCTTTGTACAGTACTGTATATACATACAAGACTCAGATCAACCTTCAGTCTTAAAAGAATCTTAAAATGATCACTTAAATACATTATGTTCAGGTATAGTACAGCAATGGAAGCAAAAAAGGATAAGCAAATAATAGAGGAGTGTTGTGTCAGCGGGTGTGAGGGAGGAGGAGGGTGGAAGGGTGGGTGAGTGTGGGAATAGGGCAGCCTTGTAGCAGAGTTTGTCCCTCTCTCTCTCTCTCTCTCTCTCTCTCTCTCTTTCTCAGTGTCAGACCCTGCTCTCAGGGGTCTTTCCCAAACTGTTTTCAGTGACATTTCTGAGATGTTTGGACGAAAGGAAAGTATTTGGGAGCACTAATGTGTTGGCTGTTTGGATGTGTCCGTATGTTCCCTCCATGTTGCTGTTCACACTGTTGCTTAATGAAGTGCAAAATCAGCTTCATATCAGCATCATCTCCCACACCAGAGCCATTTCTCCCTCCACAGATTTTATGAATTCAATAAAACAAGCCTCCTACTGTCTGGCGTTCACCACAGAAGCTATTTAACAATTAATGTTATACTCAACCACATGATGTGTTCCATATGGAATACATGCTTGGCTAACCTAAATAACTATGTGTGCTGAAGACATGCGGGGATCCGCGAAGCTCCAAAAAGGCGTCGGCCGCACGGCTTAGACAAACTACCGAACATGTTTCAGGCAGAGACCCACCTGAAAGCTATTGCAGCGTCCAGGCGGTGTTGTTTCTGTCTGGTGGAGATTTATTATTGTGGCGGTGAAGCCGAGGGAGCCGAGCGTTGCTGGACACCTGGAGACGGGCAGTGTGCTGCGGAGAGGATATTAGATTGGGCTTGGTGGAACTGTGGGTCCAGAAGAAAGCTGGGGATGGATGGCCAGGAATGTTCCCTCAGAATTGTGTTCTGATACCATCTTTATGTTTGGAATTTACAGACCCTCCCAAACGCAGGCAGCGCATTGTAAACACAGAAGCTTTTTCATTATTTTTGCTGTCTTCCATAGAAGTGACAATGATATTCTTCAAAGTGGCCTCCTTTGCCTTAATTCTTTGTGTTTTAAAGTAAGTTTATACATAAGCATTAAATGCACTATTTATATTAAGCATTTTAGCATAAGCCTTTAGATCAAATCATCTTTAAGATTATGAAAATGATATATTGTTTCTTTTGACTGTACATGCAATAAAGAGAGAGAAAGGGAGGCAGAACAAAGAACTTATATAAAGGGAGAAGCGAGTTCTCTAATGATGTCACTCTCCCTCTGGCCTTCCTTGGGCGTTAGCACTGTGCTGTTGTTCTGCAGTTACAGCAGAATTCTTGACCACAGCAGGGTCCAACAACAGTGTGGACTGCAGTTCTCGAGGCACGCACAGTCCTCATACACTGACATTGCATTTTGAATGTTTGTAATGATCTGTCATGTGTGTTTTCCTGGCGAATTTGAATTAAATTACCGTCTCTGTGAAACACTTAGCATATACAGCTACCAGTTAAGGCTACTGTTAATCTAAATTAGCAACTGTTTTCTTGCTAATACTAAAGCTTCAGCCTTAAGGCACTTATGGACATTGTATGTAAAATCTGAATATGCTTTGGGTTCTATAATTTATTTTTATTTTTAAATATGAACTGAATATTCCTTCATTTTAATTATAATGTAATTCAGTTTTCAAAAATGATAAGCACAGAGATGTGGTATTATCAGAATCATATTAGTATCGACAGACAGATGTTTAGATTTGATTGGTATTTCAGATTGATGTTTGATGATACTGTACTTGAATGTTTACCCAATGCTAAATTATTGTGTTAAAATGTCTGCAATTCTTTAATTTTATTGCATTTGTAATCCTATAGATGTTTTATGTGTAATGTTAACTTTTTCCCAAACTTGCCTGATCGGGGGGGAGTTGCATCTCTGTATTGAATTGAATTGTACCTACAAATTAAAATTACCACCGTGAAATATATATTGGATATCAGATATTGGCCACTATTCCCATATCAATGCACCCCTATTGATTCCGCAAGAATGTTGATCATATGTCTTGGGTACCAAAATGCATGCCTGTGTGTGGATCACTGGACAAGGGGATGATCATAACCAGAAAAATAGTGAAGAGAAAGAGAGAGAGAGAGAAAAATCAAAAGCTTGTTCAAGTTACACAGAAGAAAAGTCTTCCTCCATAAGCTCTGAATGTGTTCTGTCTAAGTTGTATGGGCTCTTAGCCACACTGGTGTCCAGCTCCTCTCATCACCTGCCAAGCTTCCTCTGCACACACACACACACACAGCTGACATCCAGCGACCGCTCACCCCCAATAGCAGCAGCAGTAATAACAGTGATGGCTGTGAGGAACATGCTGTCTGCCAGCAAGACTTCAGCCCTGGCTCCTACCTTCTCTCACTAGAGTCATATGACTGTCACTGAGGGTGTGTGTTTGTGTGTGTGTTTCCAGGATGGCCTATCGGCGGAATGAAGAGGATGAGGAGGAGGCAGCTCGTGAACGCAGACGAAGAGCGCGTCAGGAGCGTATGCGCAGCAAAGAGAGCGAGGATGCACCAAACCCGCCCGAGAGTGTGGAGCTAAACAACAGCCACAGGTATCTTAGACATGCACAGTCATATGCAAAAGTTTATATACATTGTCAGAACAAGGAGTTATATATATAGTTTTATATATATATATATATATATATATATATATATATATATATATATATGAAATATTTATGATCCACATTACTTAAGAAGTTTGAAATCCCTGTTCAGAAGTTTTTTTGATAGTCAATTTTATTACATACTGTACTAAACATACTGTATAAAGTAATTCTAATATGCTAATCCTACACAACTTTACATTTCAAGTTGTGAAGAAAATGAAGAAATTTTGCTTCCAGAATGATGAAAGACATCTAGATATTTCTAAAATAGCTGAGAAGGCTGTATAGCTTTGAAAATAAATTTAGAGTAAACTAATATGTAGTTATATAAGTAATATCCAGAATATTTCAAAAGTGACAAAATGAGACAGAACATTAGAAAAAAAAATTTTGTAGATAGATAAGTACAGTATGAGATTTATCATCTGCTGTTCATATATATTTATTTGTTTCTGTAGCCTTTTTAGAAAAAGCTGTTGAGGTAATGCTGTTTCTCAGCCTTTCTGTACACAAAAAATGTGCTTGCAGTTCTGATGTAAGCACCTGTTGGTGTTTCGTTTCAGCCCTTTCAGTTTTAAAAACATGTACACTTGATATATTGTGGTTGGGATGAAAATGGTGCCATAAATCCATCTATGGCCTTAATGCACAGGCCAGGCAGAACACACTCTGGAACGAATCTAGGGGTGAACCTGAACACTAGGGGTCACTCGATGTCCTCCATGGAGTGCCAAACTTTCCCCAAGTGCTGCTACAGTGGGATGACTGAGAGAATTAGGATTGGTAATTGGTTACAAATACACTGAGTGAAAGGGAAAAAGATCAAAAAATTGTAGGTGTTTTCTGTTTTTCGGCATTTCTCTGCAGCAGGGATCGATTACTGACTGGGCAAGTTAGGCCACTGCCCAGGGCCTCTGACCTCCAGGGGTTTCAGGGGCCCTCAGACCACAAGGCCCGGGGTGGCTCAAAGACTGTCCACTGCAGATGCAAAAATTCGATGAACGAATAACCCTTGCATATGTGATGACTTTACAAATGAAATAAAGGCCTCTCAGCCCGTAAACTGCCACTATATTCAAAATAAATAACCTTCTAATGCCAAAGATGTGCACAAATATAACTGGGCAGGAAATAATATGCCATTGTAAATGATCTCCAAAGATGCTTGTGTCCAGGGAGTCCGTGAGTCCGTGATCTGCCCCTGTTCTGCAGCTGTGTGTGTCCAAATGTGACCCACAAACAGGTGGACTCTGGGTCCTCTGCATATTTCAGAACTCTCTCTTAATAATGCATGTGTGAAACTCTAGCTTTCTTTGATACACGTGCACACTGAAACAGTCAGTATGTGTGTAAATCTCCTCTCTGTCTCTTAGTCTAACCCTCAGCCCTGCTCTGTGTGAGTTATAAATAACTTCCTGTAGCAGGTCAGTGATGTGGAAGCAGTGGGTCGTACTGACGTACACTGACACTGTGCCATTGTAGTCCAGAATGCTTTCGCACACAAGAGAGTCTATCGCAGCAGCCTGCAAGTATCCCCTCCGTGTGAGCGGGTGTAGCTGCCTCTATTGTGAATTGTGCTGATGCTGGGGGAAACCTGTGCCAAGTGGTGCGCTCAGACTACATTAACCTACAGTGGCATGCATGTGGCAGCCAGGCTGGGACTGCGACAGTCCAGTGAGGGCCAGTTAGGCTGCCTAACAAAGGTAGGGGGGAAGAGGAAAGAGCGGGCCTGTTCCAAATCGCTAGCAGACTCTTCACTAAGCAAAGGGACTCAATGGTCTATTGTGTGTGTGAAGTAGAAGACTGCAATAATATGGAATAAATTGGCTGGTACAGAGATTTCAGTGTACTGCTACATATGCACAAAATACACAGATGTAGGTTTTTATACCTACATATATATGTCCACAGGTTAAATTGTACATATATAGCAATAGTAATAATAATAATAATATTGCTGCAATAATAGTAGCTGTAATAATAATAACAACACTTTTTTGTCTTACACTTTTGAGGCAGTTCCTAACACTGAAGTAGGCAAGGAACCAAACACATTGTGATCGTGTGAGTTGGAGCTTAATCTTTGACAAATAAAAGAACATAATAAAAGCACTGTTCAGCAAAACTGTTTTAGTATATTTTCATCTTTAAATTGTCCACAAAACTGTAATCTAGTAAGAAAAGATGTATTTGTGAATGTCACGCAAACTTTATCATCTGAGAGCTTAACCTGATGCCACATTCTCTGAAGCCATTTCGCTTGAAGTCGTTTCACCTGATAAACGAGAGCTGAGACATTTTATACTCGTGTTTGTCCCGAGACCGAACTCATTTTCTGGTGTGTTAAACTCAGCTCAGTGGTCTGAGGATGACTTAAAATGTACACCGCACTATATATGTAATTTTTTAGGTATAATTTTGGCTTGCTGCACCAAGCACATTTCATCTGTGCTAGGTATAATAAATGTGTTGTAAATGTAGAATATCATATCTACCAACATGTTTAGAAGTTATGTTATGTTCACTTGTGGGAATACTAGTGTCTTCTTATTATTTGATGAACTGAATCCATGAATGAACAGAGCTTTTCAAATTGACAGTAAATTAGATTTTACTGTCACTAGGGACTGTTTATAGTCTTGCTTCTGTGATTGTTGGTACTTGCTTTGCTGGTTTCTGGTAATGTTAGCATTTATTATTAGCTATTAACCAAAAACACTAGAAGCAGCTACCTTGAAGCCTGAATGTTGCCTGTACTTTTATAGATAGCAGTATGTCATATAGTGTCAGAAACTACATAAGCAAGTCTATTTGAGATTGAGACTTAACAACTCAACATGGTTTGGGGCAAGGATGCTATGATTCAGGCATGCAGTGCTTATTAGTGTACGTAAGCTTCCATTACTTGTTAGCTGCAATAGCCTCATAGCTTCAGTGCAGGACTAAATAAGCAAGCTTTAGATCCCAAACATGTGCAACATGATTCTTGCAAATGATCTACTATGTTTGCAGTGAGGAGAGAGCTGGGTAAATTTGATTTTTCTCTGAACTTTCACTGTAGTATGCGTTTCATCTCCATATCTCCTTTAATCTCCCTGTTTCTGTTTCTGTCTCGCTCTCAGTGTGACTGTCACGGAGACAGTGTCCAGCTCAGTGGTCAGCTCAAGCCAGGCTGGTGAAGGAGACGATGAGGAGCAGGCCCTGCTGGAGCGTCTGGCCAAGCGGGAAGAGCGCAGGCAGAAGAGGATGAAAGAGGCGCTAGACAGACAGAAGGAGCTGGAGTCCACTGACTCCTCCCACTACAGCATTGAGGAGCACTCCAGCACCCGCCACACCCTCCACCACGGCCTGGAGGAGGAGCCAGCACTCAACAGCAAGGAGCAGGAGAAAGAGAAGGCGAAGGAGGAGGAGGAGGAGGAGGAGGAGGCTGCACAAGAGGAGGAGGAAGAGCAGAAAGAAGAGGAGGTGGTGGAGGAGAAGCCACGGAGGTCTTACCTGAGGGAGCAGGTGTATTTTTTTTTCGTCATTCCCTCTCAGGGTTTCATCTGTGTGGTTTAATGCAGTCTTTTGCTGCCATACGTTTGGTTTACTTTTGATGAACGTTGTTCACTTTTAGGAATCCACTGAGGAAAAACCTAAAATAGAAGATGAGGTATGGCTACCCTGAGTTCCTCTGGTTTTCGCTCACTTAAAGCAATAGTATGGTGAAAAATCAAATTCACACAATTTGGTTCTTACTTCAAATGTAGTTTATCAGCCAAGACATGTTTAGTGTTTGCAGTTTGCATAATTTTGTTTTTAAAGGACAGGGATGCTTGTAATGCAGCTAGCTAGCTGACCTGCTAGTGTAATTAGTAATGTAAAACTTCTTAGGCTCCATCATGCTGAATAGTCACATTTGCTTATTAAACTGTTATCAAGTAGCACTGGTCAGAAAGAAAATGTGTTAGATATTCGTTACATTCCATTAAAGGAAGACAAAGTAAATATACAGACCAAAAGTTCAGTAAAAAGCTGATTTTGTGTTTTAACTGAGCTGTAATATGTGGTAGTTTTGCTTGTATTTGCGAAAAAGAATGTTATGTTATACTTTGCTACTACTAGAGGTAGCGTGGTTTTCATTGCAAAATAGGCTAGGCTGATGTAAGATCTAGAAACAGTTCAAATTTATTTCTGTGACAAACTAAAAAGTTGACACTTGATCCACTGAAGATGGAAAAAACACCTGTAGAAGACAACGAGACTCCATCTATTCATCTACGAACATTTATGGATACTCAAAATTAGTCAGAATGCACCTCCTTGAATTTAGCTACTGGCGTATGGTAGGGCTATGCGATGTGGACATAAAATGTGTTATTCGACAAAGCTGTTAAATATCATGTGTGGGCTCCTGAGTGGCGCAACCGTCTAAGCGTTGGCGAGTTCGATCCCTGGTGATGCTACAGCCAACCGTAGCCGGGAGTCCGAGAGAGCACAATTGGCCTCGCTCTCTCTGGGTGGGTGGGATGGCTAGATAATGACAGAACAGTCATACAGTGTCAGAAGCTACATAAACAAATTTGTAGATTATTTAACAACTCAACACATTTCAAGCAAGAATGCAGTGACTTAGCCATGTAGGTTACATGATACTGACTGGTGTGCATAAGTTTCCATTCTTTAACTACATTAAACTCTTTGAGATTACTCAACAATTCAACATGGTTTGATGATTTAGACATGTAGTTTGCACAGTGCTAACTAGTGACTGTAAGCTTCCATTACAAAGTGATTAACTAAAGACACCAAACATGTCTTGACTGATCAACTAGATTTGGGTTAAGGAAACATTTGTGTACATTTGATCATCAAACTATCGCTGTAATTCTATGCAACATAAACCATGTGCATCCCAATTCCTTTCATAGGGCAGTACTGAGCAGGACGCTGTAAGTGAAAAGTTTGAGACTTTAAATGAAGACACAACTGATTCCACAGTCATTTCAAAGCAAGAAGTGGAGGAGGACACTGCAAAAGTCATAGAGGATGTAGAGGAAACAGAGGAGAATGAGTTAGAGGCGCTTACGCAGAACGCAGCTGATGAAATGCAGACAGCTGACTCTGAGAAACCAGAGAGAGAGTTTGCAAACAATGATTTAGGTTTGGTAAGCATCCAGATGCTCATAGAAGATGGATAATTAAAGCCTTGGGGGTTTAGTCCCAGAGAACAACTGATTGCGCTTAAATATTTAGAGGATGAGTTCTCTGACTTCAAAGTTAATTGAAAATATGTTGTAAATCATTTTGATTCTCCCTCTTAATGTGAAACCATCAGACCAACTGGGGCTGCACAGTATGAACAAAATGTCTTAGTTATACTGAGATTGATTTGTCTTGCAATTTATTCAATTATATGCATTGAAAATATAGTAAAACCATATTGGATGACCATTAATGTGACATGGTTGAAGACCGACCAGCATTATTTTTACCAAAATTATTTACACATGTGAAATGACTTGATTCATCAAAGCACCCTCATAATCTTATCTGGAACATGTGACTGTGATGCTTACAGTAAACATTTAGTAAGTATTTAAGGGAAATGTATGTCAGCAATTAACTACGTTCTTGCGTTTGGGATTATTTGGATCAAATGAAGCAGAATATGCAACCAACTTCTAAAACTGGACCTCAGAGGTGTGGAAAAATATACCTGCAAATTTCTTTGAAAAACTAAAAGCAAAATGGCCATCTTGCCTGGAAATTAAATAAATGGTAGGTGTTCTCTGAATATGTATATATCATGAAAACATATATCTGAATATGTATATATCATGAAAACATATATATGAATATGTATATATCATGAAAACATATATCTGAATATGTATATATCACAAAAACAAATAATTTATTGTGCAGCCCAACACTAACCCTTTCTAAAGGAGAATACAGTGTTTATGGAAAGCTAGAGGCTTTGCCCCCAAACCTGAGTTATCCAGACACCAGTCTGAGCACAGTGTGAGTGCAGTGACCCCACTGACGTGTACACTACATACCTTCCTTGATCTTCCCACAGTGTTCAGTAAGGTCATGATCTCTGTGGTCATCTCACTTGTGAAATGTGGTTTAGCACACACTGTTTTTGCATGACAAGAGAGTGTGTGTTCTCGCCTGCTCTTTGTCTCTGAGTGCTGTTCTGCCTACTGTTTCACCCTCTTTCCCTCATTCTCTTCCTGAGTGATTCGCCTGCCCCTGCTGTAAGTGATGTAATAGTGCCTTATTTTCAGTTCTGTTCACTCTCCACTGACAGATGGAGGATGAAGATGTGGGAAGGAAGAGCAAGCAGCAGAACGGAGGGGTGTATGAAGACAGCAAGCACAAGAAGGTGGAGAGAACCCAGAGGTGTGAGAAATAAGATAATAATAATTCACGCACCACACAGTTAACGACTGTGCTCGGCAGGTTTAATATTGACCGCCATACCATTGATTAAAACTTAAGCCATGCACAGGGAACAGTTTAAATGTAAGTCCTACAGTTAAGGAACAGAGAAAAGAAAGCATGACTTTTCGCTGTATATCTTAATATGAGTGATTTGACCCCTTAAACTGCAGACTTAAGTGGTATTTGAACTGGATTAGATGTACTAGAGGATTCTGTGATGTAATCTGTAAGGAATTTGACTAGCCGATTCGTATAGGATAAAGTATATGTGTAATTTCCTCGCAGATCGTAATCCACATGTACATGTCAGCATTATGCATGAGACACCACATTTCACTCAAAATGATTACTTGTCACTAGAGATGGCGCAGTGGCACTCCTTTTCTGATACTGATAGCGATATTGAAACCTTGAGCATTGGCTGATACAATCCAATGTTTTCTCTTCAAAAACGACTAAGATTTCAAAAGAGCTATTTTTAGTTGAAGCACTTCACTTCAGATGAGCATTTAAAAGTAGGCTATCACGCTTAAACTGCTCAAACACTGTACTACCCCACAGAAAGAAATACACAGCTAACAACACAATGTAAGTGTGATATTTTAGGATCAGTTGAGTAAGACTCATTCTTTTTTTCCCTCCGATGGCCCACCCAGCATTTTCTGCTGCTATATTTTCTGAAACTGAAACCCATATACAGTCTCTGCTTATCATATAGTAAAGACATTTCAGAATTGTACTTGATTACAATCCCAGGTCTCAACAGTAATCACTTCAATCACAGTACCAACAAATAAATATGACATCAGATTCAGTATTTAGTGCGTGCACCCTTTGCCTTTATTACAGCCTCTATTCTCTTCTTTAGACTTGCTTTCAGTTTTTCAAGGAAATATGCAGGGAGGTTTTTTCCACACCTCCAGTGTTCAGTCTTAGAAGTTGGTTGCATTTTCTGCTTCTTACAGTCAAAGTACCCACCATATTCTATCAATGTACCCTAACATATTCAATAATGTTGAGGCCTGGGCTCTGGTGTGACAAGTCTATTGTTGTGAGGGCACCCGGATCTCTCAAAGATGAAAGCTTTAAGTGATGTTTATCTGATGGTGATAGTTTTGGTGGCCTACTAGGTCCTGCACAGTTGTTAGGAGACCTGTATTCTTAACAAATTTAAATAATTTTTTTGGAAACACCTTATTTTTTATTATATTCCTTTGACTCTCCCCTTCTTTATGCAAGTGGATTATTTTATATCTAATCTGAAAAATTAATTAATTTCAGTTAATGGTTTTGACTGAGAATTAAATAAATGAAGGGCAGTCTGTGACTTTTGCACAGTACAGTAACCATGTAGTGAAGAACTGAAATGTGTGCCCACATACAGGCCCTTGTAAGTTAAACATAGGGTATTCAAGCAAATGTGTCAACTGCAAAGAATATTAGTAGTTTACTAGTTCTGTGTGATTGACACTCACACATAAAGCAGTTTTTTTCATGTATTATGAAGCTGTATTTGACCCCAGTTATCTAATCCTAGCTGTGCTGAGTCCTGATCACTGTAACTGGAGACTCACTCTGTCACCTTAGACAGGAGCGAGCTGATTCCCAGAGTGTGTGTGTGTGTGTCTCTAAAACCATGTTATGTGTGTGTTTGTGTCTATATGAATCTTCTTGCCTTTTTAATCTGTGTTAATGCGGGTGTATCTCTACATGTTTTCCATTTGTGTGCCTCAGCCGTGGCAGCTTGCGCTCTCCCGAAGTTCCAGCAGCGGAGGATCTGGACGGTGAGGGAGCGCGTCTGGAGGCCGAGAGGAAGCTTGAGGAGCTGAAGAGGAGGAGAGACGAGACAGAGAGTGAGGAGTTTGAGAGGATGAGGCAGAAGCAGCAGGAAGCTGAGGCTGAGCTGGAGGAGCTGAAGAGGAAGAGGGAGGAAAGGAGGAAGATACTGGAGGAAGAGGAGAAGCAGAAGAAGCAAGAGGAGGCTGAGAGGAAGGCTAGAGAGGAGGTACGTTAGCTCAGTTTTACTCATGTCGTTCATTCTGCAACACTGTTTGGTAGATTTCCACCCAAGATGATGCTTTTTATACATTGGCCCCAAAAAGTGCTTGGACATTTGTGCCATACTTAATGTGTTATGTTCATTTTGTTAGGAAACAAAATGTCAAACCAAGCAGCATTTGTTTAAAACAGACCATCTTTTTTTTTAAAGTATTTTTTGAAAGGCGGTTGGTGTGTTTCAGTTTGAGCAGTTTTCTTTGCAAGTTTCTGTATGTCTGAAACCAAAATGCCTTAGTACACTTCTGAGTTCATGATCCCAGTGAACACAAGCTCACCAACACCACTGTAGGAAAAACAGCTTACTGACATTTCCACCTCTGTGCTTTACAGAACCCTTAGGGCAGTCTAGTTGGAATTCTTCTCAAATTTTTCTCTGCACAAAAAATCTCTATCAGTTTGATGTCATGTCCAAAGTGTTTTTTTCTGAAAAAATATCATTTTGTTCAGTGTTTTATGACAAAGCCTAAAAAACCTGGTTGAAGTATCCAAATACTTTTGGGGCTAATGTATTTAAATGAGTAGTTTGGCAAAAAAAATACAATCACAGTTGACGCCTTGCCACAAATGTAGCCAATCAGCCAATGTTTGGTGTCTGAATTTTACTTTGCTAATGTAACTAATCAGTAACAGGAGCTTGTATGTCAGCAATCAGCATTCTGCTGAATCCCTAAATCATCTTGCATTCACCTCTAACCAAGTTGATAAGTCATCTCAAATAGACTTTGTTCTGACAATGTATGACATACTGTTATCTATAAATGGACAAAACCACATTGCATAGCTAAAAATAGCAATAGTAGCCATCTTGAAGCCTGGACGCCAAATATGACTTGGCTGACCATCTACATTAGGGACTTTTTTGTTGAACTTTCGCTTTAATCATTCAGAATGTTTTTCTACAGCACATCGGTATTTGTATATCTTATTTTCCTGGCTTGGACTCTGACAGAAATACTCTGCTATATTTGTTTGAGAATGTAACCTTTGTGAAAGAGGAAGACATTCTCTGCATATTTTATTGCTCCAAGCTTCAGTGTCCTTAAGTTCTCTATTTTCCCAGCCATGTGTTGATAAGATGTCGTTTGTCAGGAGGCTGTGTCTTACACAGAATATATGAGGACGTGTGAGTCAAGTTCCTTTTTGAATGTGTCTTATGTGACTGTGATGACTGTGTATTACAGGGTCATAACTCCCCTTTATTACATGCTATCACCGTCAGTAGGCTGCCATGTGAACCTGAGTCCAAATTCAAATGAATGTCTCCATTGTGTGCGCTTCAGATTACGGTACAACATCATTTAAATGTTCACCCCACACGCGATAGCCAGGCCGTATTTCTCAATGGCATTATGCAAATTTCCCACCGCTTTACATGGGCTATCAGCGTTGAGCAGGCTTTCCCTGAGCCTGGGCCACGCTCGCCGGTCAGCTCGCCTCGTCCAGTGCTGTTCCGCCATTGTGATGCTAATGCCTTCCTTGTTCCCAATTAAAAGGCAGAATAAATTTAAAAAGGGACTAATTAGATGGTACAAGGTCCCGTGCTGATGGCAGAGAGGCTTGCCAAGAGCTGTTGTGGGCTCAAAAAAGGCATTTTGGTGATTCCCCAGCTGAGAAGGCACTCACATTAGCATGTTGGTGTCAGGCCATTTTGTCAGTGTGAATACATGACTGTTGATAAGTCTAGAATTATTTGTAATGTTGTCAATTTTTGTTATTGAATTAATCAGTAAACAATGTAGATTGAAATATTGAACTCTGAGTATTAATTTTATTAAAACTTTCTTTTTTGATGCTCTTTAGCTTTCTCTGTTATAATGTAGTTATCTACAGCTCTGTTTATTGTCCTGGACACCTCTAAATGTCCTAATTTTTTACAGACCTCCAGGTTATGTGAAACATATGAAATAGCTGAGTACTATCATCACATACAGTCATATGAAAAAGTTTGAACACCCCTGGTCAAATTACATGTTTTGTTGATTTTCTAAGTAGAAAAAGTGACACATCCTCTACAGAGAACACACTTAAACATGGCTTTTTTGTCTTTATAATATCTATATTTATTTGTGGAGTTTTAACAAAAAAAAATCAAACATAAAATATAGAACTGATTTATTTGATTGAAAATAGTGTTTCCAAAGTTCTAAATGCAGTGATGGAGGGTGATGGATGTATTGCTGCTTGTGCAGGAGGAGAAGAGGAGGATGAAGGAGGAGATAGAGAGGAGGAGAGCAGAGGCGGCAGAGCGGAGGCACAAGGTTGAGGAGGGCGTGGATGGAGACACCAGGAAGCCCTTTGTGTGTGTGAGCCCCAGAGGATCCTCCCTGAAGGTCAGTCCCACCTGGTTTTAGGGGAGGTCAGTCAGCTGAATGTAGATAACTTAACATTAGATAGAAATTTGTTTAGATCTTGCTATTTTTCTTTGGCAACAAAAGGAAAACTGACAAAAAGCTCTACCTTGCGAAAAATGACATATGCGGCGACGTCAGTACTCTTCAGCTATTCAAACCTTTTTGACTTTAGGACAAAAGATGTTCAATATGTCATTTTAAAAATAGTCTGGGAAACCATTATTTAGGCAAGAACTTCAAAGTCCTCATAGTTTTTTCACTGTAAATAAAGAAAAAATAGTGAATTTTTTCTTGTATTAGGAATTTTAACTAATGACTTGTTACCAAATTGAGACTTCTGGTAACATAATCTACTAAATTAAATGTTTTAAGACTATTTTCTCCAAAATGACTGAATAATCAGGGATGGAACCTGGGTGGCGTGGTTGAAGCAAGTAACAGGGTTGAACACAGAGATTCCCATTCCCCATATTCCCCATTAAGTTGATATTAATGCAGTAAAAAACATATGAAGTACACAACATTAAGCAGAGAGGAAAGCTAAAAAAAAGTAATTAAAGTCTTTGTTTCACACCATGTTCAGTGAGGTGGAACAGCCCCAAAATCACCATTTTAAAGGTAGATACAGATATTTTGTATGTTTTTGTGATCACTGAAATAATTTTATTTTAACAGAAATAAAAAGGCACAATTTTTTTTTTAAAAGCTAACCGGACATAAGTTTAAATCTATTCATGGAAAGTTCCAAAAATCAAACATTTCTCTGAAGATTTTAAAAGAAGACAAGCTGTCTCCGAACTTCTAATGACCAGTGTGCTACGCTTCATACATTTAGTTCATGAACTCCCTAATTCAAAGAGATTTAGGAGAATCTCTTTTGTATGTTTGCGTGTGTCTGTTTCAGGCCATTTGTGGTGGATGTGTTTGCTCCAGTGTGGTAATCTTGTTATAGGTTATGTTGTGGTCAGTGTCTGGGCTGGTTTTCCACAAACAGAGAGCAATTGAATTACAGTTAGCGTGTGTTTAGCGAACCGCATCTCCTCTCCAATCTTCCACACTCTCGCTAGCGTGACAATTCCACGTGTTGTTTGGTCTGAGAGGGTTTGTGATTTTGGTAAATGCTAACAGTGTCTCTGTTCTGTCCACAGCTTTACTTTGTCATCATGTTCACTGTATGTAATGCATGCTGTGTGATCTTTATGTGTGCAGTTTGATTTCTTTTCATAATGCTAATAGATCTCATTTATAACTGCCCTTTACCGGATTCAGGCTCTTTCAGATATTCTATTGTTCCATGTTCAGAGCATACCTAATTCCTATTATCTCATTTGACGTTTTTGCATGCTTGGGCTGCACAGTTCCATTTGTTATCGTTTGATATTGACCTTTGCAGTATTGATAGAGAAGACTGCCATATGCAAATGAGATTTCTAACAAATTACATTTTTTTGTGATATGAACTTTCTGAACAACCACATTTGTTCCAGTGCTTGGATCCAGAGCTCTGTCAGCTTGGATCAAACTAAGCATTGTAGAGATTCAGTATTTTTTTTATATTCCATATATTTTAGCATTCAGAGGTTTGGAATTACAGTTTAAAAGTTTGGGATTATTATTGTATTTAGATGATGCTACTTTACAATGTTACAGATTTCACCTAATGAGTATAACTCTTCGAAAAATGAAGAAATATTAGATGCATCCAGAGTGATGAACAAAAGTTATAATAAAATTGACATCCACAATGCCTCATATTTTAAACATGGTGATCAAATCTCAGGCAAATAACTTGTCAAGAAATTAATCTAAAGAAATAACTGCAGTATATTATTAATTAGTTAATAAAAATTTGTTGATGTTCCCCAAAGAAATGTAAAAATTTGATTAAACATATTGAAATACCTTTTGGCATCTAACTTACAGAAGTTTAATCAACACTCTAACAACTTATGAATTCTACTGTATATAGTTTTGTTCAAAAGTAATAGATCTTTAACCATTTCAATATGTAACAGTATAATAGCAGTGTGATGTTTTGTTCATATTGTGCAGCCCTATGGTTTGCCCTTCTGTTTTTCTGATTAAGATGCCCATGGTTTGCCTGTGTCTTGCTTTTAGAACTCAGTGTTCCAAAAGTACCGAATAAGATAAAATGGAGTTGCTCCCTTCAGAGTGTGGGCTCGGAGAGAATGCAGGAAGGCCATTAGCCTAATAGGATTACTGTAACCACATTCGAAAGGAGCTGTTTCAAACATGCCAGAGAATGGGGAATTTCCTGAACAGAGTATTTTAGGAACTCCCACATTCAGTAGCGTTGGGGGTAGGGAGGGTAGATGGGGTTGGAGGGTCTGAGGAAGAGTGGGGGGAATGGTTGTGTGTGTATATGTGTGTGTTTGTGTTTTTTTTTGTTGCGTCGCGGGAACACTTGCCCCCCTCTTAGCCCTGTTGTCGTATATCATAAACACAGGCCGCGTTCCCACAGAGCTCTCGGCCTGAAAAAGGCCCTGCTTTTCCTGGCCCACTGACAGCTTCAGCCTGAGCAGAACAGACTAGTCTCTTGGCCACTCAGAATAGCCAACTCCAACAGCAAGCTAGTGCGTACATGTGTGCTTGTGTACTTCCACATGACCAACGCAATAACCTGTCTTAAGTCTGTCTAATACAGTCTGATCTGTCTTCCCAGATTGGTGAAAGGGCAGAATTTCTCAACAAGTCAGCACAGAAGAGGTACCTTTTCTACTTTTTTGTCCTTGCAGACTTCACTTGAAAGCACATGACTCCATTTATTGCACATTTCCATTCAAATTATATTACTTTGTCAGTACAACTTTATTCAAATTGTGTGGTATGTGGTATTTTTTTCATACATGCATCACTGATAAAGATTCAGGGTATGGTTTAAACTAACTTTTGTGTATGTTTGCCTTCCTGTGGTGCCAGTGCTGTCAAGACATCTCACTCTCCCGTGGTGTCAAAGATCGATAATCGATTGGAGCAGTACACCAGTGCTGTGCAGGTCAGGTCTAACCTGCATTTCACTGACAGCTTTCAGAAACTATACAGAGCAACAGGAGTAGCCAAAAAAGCATTTTAATATGCTGTATGTAAAAATTATATAATATTTAATATAATACAACATATTTGTATTATATTAAATATTATATTATTTAATATATATAATATATATATAATATATTATATTATATATTTAATATAATACAACAACTGCATTTTGCACTAATACATATTTTGTCATTTTGACATATTGCATTGCTCTCTTTTTAAAGCAACAATGAAAAGAAAATTACACTCACATACAGTACTGTGCAAATGTCTGTGCATAAGAGACTACCTTTCATTTATTTAATTTGCTATCAAAGTGGCCTTTAAGACCAAGTGGAAGAAGGAAGCAAAAAAAAAAACATATATTTAACAGAAAATGTCACAAGAGCCCCTACACTAAGTATAATATCAATTCCATTCATATTAAATTTGTCCACTCTTTAGTTTTGTGCACCCACTGCTGCTTTAACTCCTCCATTTTTCCTGTCTTAAAACCAGTTAGAGTTGCCAGAGTTAACGCTGTCCTCCCAGCAAAAGCTAATCCCAATGGAGTTTATGTTCATTATATTCCCCTTCAAAGAAACACTAACATTCACACAAGCAACTACTCAAACTCACCTCAGCTGCCTTGCAGACTTCTCATGTATATGTAAAATGGCTAAAGGAGATATTTATGAGGAGATTAGATATGAACATAATGAAGAGGAAAATAAATGACAAAACTGAAGTCAATTTTTTAAAAAAGGTATAGACTTCTAACAACCATGCAAGACCTGGTAGACCATTAGATAAATCGTATCTAAAGCTTTTTTTATAAGAGAAGAGAATTTGCTCTATGACTGAATCCAGATATCTGTGATGTGCAGTAAGCTTTTATGAGAAACATAAATCATGAGGATCATGAGAAACAGATAGATATATAGCTGTTGAGTTAGTTGCTTTATAAATGAGCAAATGAAGGGGTGGTCTCTGACTTTTACACATCACTGTACTTTGTTCTTTTTTATTTAGAAAAAAATGTGCCATACAATGTCAGAAACCACATAAACAAATGTGTTTGAGATTTCTTAACAACCCAACATAGTTAAGACAAGTGTTTGATGACTATTGGCACAATACTTATTCATGGTCGTAATGTTTCATTATTTGTTGGCTACATTAGCCTCATAGCTCCAGAAACAAACTTCAGACACTGAAAATATCTTGGCTGATCAGCTACATTTGGGGTAAGGGGAAAACTGTTTTCATTTGTCTCCAAACCATGGCTTTAATTCTGTCCCTTCTGTTTTTTTCCTCTGCCTTTTTCCAGACTAATAAGGATGCACGTTCGCCGCGGTCAGCTGCCATAGACCTGCCCACGGTTTCTGATGGCATTCGGAACATTAAAAGTATGTGGGAGAAGGGCAATGTCTTCAGCTCCGGCACCAGCACACCTTCCAGCAACAAGGTCAGTAACATCCATTCACATATCTGGGCAGGAGGACCACTTTTCCTCTCACACCAACTTCCTGTCCAGCCTGGCACTTTGACTTTTGACTTTCTGTTCTCTTCTGCACAGGATGCAGCTGGGATAAAGGTGGGCGTGGCTGGCCGCATCAACGATTGGCTGAATAAAACTCCGGAGACAGGCAAAACATCGGGAGGGAGACCTGCGGTAGGCCCCAAGCACTGTCACACCCTACCCCCTTTCAACATGATTCAGCACTTCATGACCTCATTGCACTGTTCACTAGATTAGGGCAGGAGCAGACACCCCTGTTACGACAGGCTGTCTAGCTGGTGCCATCTAGTGGTATTGGTTTGACCCTCAAAGTAATATAAAGGTTAGATTATTTTTATAAACAAGATATTTGTGTGTGTGTGAGAGAGATATAGTTCGACTCTACAATAAACGCTCTTAAAAATAAAGTTACCAAAAGGGTTTTTGGAGTGATGCCAGAGAATAACCACTTTTAGTATTCTAAAAACCTTTTGAGTAGTTTCAATAAAGTAAAACCATCAAATTGAAAGGTTTTATGGATTAAAAAATGTTTTTTCTATGATGTCACTCCAAAGAATCCTTTATTTTTAAGAATTTAGCATTTCTTCATACTCCATCACTCTCACTCCACCCCTATAGGTCACTTTAGACTTTCTGTTTACTTTAAATCTCTGGCCCTGAGCTTCCATCAGGTGCACAACAAAAGGGCAACAAGATATAAAGAGAAACTTCTGATATACAGCAAGGACATGTCCAGTGGCTATAGATCACAGCGACACTGTGGTGTAGTTTGACCATCAGAAGGCAGTCACTGTATTAGTGTCCAGTCCTATCCATCAAGGGCCGGCGTGGCTCCAGGTTTTAATTCCAACCAAGCAGGAGCATACCTGATAAACTTTTTGAAGACAGAGGTCAGTTGATTACAGAAGTAGAATCAGGTGTGCTTCTGCTCAGTTAGAATGACCCTTTGTGGGTAAGACCAGATACTCCTGCTCTAGAGAAGCTCAGAAGAGAAGCTTGAAGTTTTGTTTCTGGAGCTGGCATATGTACATGATTTTTTCTGTGTAGCTGTCTTCAGTGAAAGCAGTTAAAGCCTACATTACACTGCTGGACAAGAAATGTTCATGTTGTACTGTAGGTTTGTGTGTTATGTCCTACTGGTAGGACTGAACAATTTAGAGTGAAAATCTATTTGATCTAACTAAAATTGCAATTGCAATTTAAATGCATTTATTTTCTTTAAGCTGCAGTGGTCACTTGCATAAAACACCTTAAGTTTTGGCTTTAAGTTTCCTCTTTACCTTAAGTGAACTAGGTAAAGTCTCTTCAGGAAAATGTTGAAGTGGAAAGTAATTAGACCCTAAGTTTAAGTTTCAGCACTTCAGTTTTTGATTGCGGCAAAGTTTAGAAATGTAAATTTATAGCTTTAAGTTTATCCCTTAAGGTGCTTTAGGCAAGTGGCCACAGGCCTTTTTTCCACCAAAAAGACCAGCACATTGATTTTTTGGGGCTTGAGACTTGAATACTGAATATAATGTGACGATTGACAGTTCACAAGCTCTGCATTATTGGTTGCATTTCTACATTTAAACTTATTGAAACAACTGTGAATAAAGTAGGATATAGTTAAAATTGCAACTCTTGCCATTTGAAAATTGCACTCTTTCGAATTTGCAGTTTCAATATAGAAATGATTGATCGTTCAGGCCTACCTATTAGTGTACATTGTAACCAAAGTTCAGTTTTCCTCTAGTGTTACGCATCCACCATATCTTCAGTGCACTACAAAAATTGCACAGTGACCACCTCTGCTGGACACTTTGAACTTTGCTGGCATAACAAAGAGAAGTTCCTTTTTGTATGTTCGTTTTTGTAGGTCGCATTTTTGATGCGTGACTAAAGATTGTATGCTCTAAATCATAGTTCATTTGCATGTAGTGTCAGATTATGCAACCATTTTCTTTTTTTTAACAAATTGAGCACAAGAGAAACACTGATATCTGACCTGCAATTGTCAGGAAGCCTTCTCAAGACTGCACTCTGGTGGTCAGCAGTGGGCACTGAATATACATTTGAGCAAAAAAGATGACTTCTAATAGGGATGAAATTAATCAAACAAACAACTCCACTGTGATTGTAGCCTCTCACTCTTATGTTGCTATTTAACTTTCCACTTTTCTGTTGATTTTTTTTGTTTGCTTTTTGATGATTCATCCAGAGTTGTCCTCTGAACACTGTTCAGCACACTGTCTGCTGAAGGCGTTTTTAAATGCTAATGTTACTGATATTTCTGGTGTTGGCAGAATCTGCGCTATATATTGCTTGTGAATGGTACTTTAAACTCGACATACTTCAGTGATAAACAAATTCACCATAGCAATAGCTTTTATCAAGAGCACCATCTATGAAACTTCTTGCCTTTTAAAGGCTGCATTTGACTGAGAGGGCTACAGTCGTGTGGTCATTCACAGCAACATACAGTGCATGAGCAGCTGGGATTCAGGCTGGAACAACAGATTGTTCAAAATGTCAAAGTAGGAAAATACATTAGCAGTGTTTAAAACCAGTGGTGGTAATAATTTATTGCATCAAGGTATTATCAGTGTATTAACTTGTACAATATATGGCCAAATGTATGTGGACATTTGACCATCTCACCTAAATGAGCTTGTGGGACATCCCATACCAAAACCATGAGCATTAATAAGGAGCTGGTCTACCCTTATATCAGTCTGTGGGAATTTGCACCCATTCAGTTAAAAGAGCATTTGCAAACAACATTTGTTTGCAACATTGATTTTATATACCTGTTAGCAATGGGTGTGGCTGAAACACCTGAGCTCAATAAGTAGGAGGTGTGTCCAGATACTTTGGGCCATATACTATCGATAAAACTATAGCAGCGCATCTTGAGAACACAAAAGCAATAAACATGCATATAACAAGCTGTCAGTAATTATAAATGTTATCATGATCAGACAGTCATCCATAGAAACTTGTTTGTTTCACGAAGGAAGATGCTTTGATCTACAATGTTCTGAGTGCTTTCTCTGTGTCCTCTTTCTTGTGCTAGCTAAGCTTCCCCCTTGTCGCATAGAGCAACATCTTAGCATTGCTTTCCTCAGGCTGTTCTTCTGTCCGTTCTTCTTCTCTGTCTATGCTGAGTAGCAGGTAGGAGTAAATGTCTGTACGCTTCTCGCCCTCTCAGCATGCCTCCTTACACTTCTGGCTGTTCATGTATGTCTATCTTTGTGCATGTTTGGTGCTTGGCCCCCTCAAATTTGACATTCCTTCTTCTCTCCTTTCTCCAGGACCTGAAACCTGGCGATGTGACCAGCAAACGCAGTCTATGGGAAAACAAAGGCTCCTCTGCTACCAAGGTAACCAGCCTTAAAACCATAGCATTCATCATCACTTTCGTTGAGATGTTTTTTGTACTCAAAACCTCTTTTCACATCCCCCAAGAGACGAATTATAAAGTGTTTCTTTATCCTAAAAACAGCTGGCATGTTTTCATAACCCTCTAGGTATGCCATTAAGGGACTATGTGCACTTTGTTAAAGTTATCATGTCAGTCGATATGTCTGCAGTATTCCAAGATAAAGAGAGATAAGCGAGCAAGCATTGCCAGCGAGCTGAGCAGTTAACACTGTGTGTTTCTGTTTAAAGCCCTCTCCCTGCTAGTTGTCTTCAGATTTGGGCTCCATGAGGAGGTAAATGTTGCTCTATCACAAAAGGGGGGCACAGTGATGATAATATCCACTTCATGCACTTATCACAAAACAGCTTCACTCTGTGTGTGTGCTGTAATAGCTTTGACTCTTACTTTGTTCTTCCTCTGTCTCACCCTCGTTGCGTGTTTCTCTTGCTCTCTTGCCCACAGCAATGGAAAAGGGGGGTTTATGGAATGCTAGATGTTTGATAGTCACTAAAAGGGGCTGCGAGCACTTTCCAAAGCCTCCTGCTTGTTTAATGTGCCATGTGTAGTGCTTGGCGATATTCATAAAATACAATATCACAATGTCTTCCAAATATATCTCAGTATCAGATGATACTGATTAAGTTGGCATCATGGACAGATAGATGTAGTTGGCATCATGGAAAGATAGATGTTCTTTAGATAGATAGATAGATCTAAATGCAGCCACAGTTTTACACACTCCTTTTATAAACATTTAGCCACCTTCTCTGTTAAAGGGGGATTCCCCAGATTTTTCAAAATTTCAGCATAAGTCAGTCCTTGAGGTGTAAACAAAATCATTCTGTGTTTTGATGTGAAATGGTGCATTGTAGAGAAACCTTCTGATAAATCTTTATTTACTATCCTAAATGACCAGTGAAGCCACACATGCCTTCTGAGTTTTTATGTGTAATGTTGATAATGGTAAAATAGTGGTAAATCTAAAAAAAAATTCTTTGGAAACTGTTTTGCTTTACAAGGTCTTGCTTGTAGCTCTCCACCATGAATGGATTAAAAACTCTTTAAATGTTCCTGTCGCCAACACTGTAAACAATTTTGACTCTGAGTATGTTTGTCCTCAAAGGAGCATTTCACATCAAACCCCTCTGAATGGCTTTGTTTACATCTTAATTATGCAGTTTTTAAAATTAAATCAGGTTTAGATACTCCAGCTATCAGGAATACCTGTGCGTCACATGAAAGTGTAACATTTATCATGAAACGCCAGTCACGTAACCATAAGGAAGAGTGGAGTGGCTTATTTCTCAAAGACGGAAAAAGAAATCATACCATGTAAACATGTAAAATAAAGCCTTTAAAATAGTAAAAGAAATGCTGTTTGCACTGACGCTGTGTTAGTGCTTATTGGAGTAATAATTTCCTCATATTCTTATATCTATGTAGTATGATTTCATTTCTGTTGAAGAGCAATGTTTTTCACATTATTGATGCCACAAACTTGCTAAAGAAAAAAGATGACCTGAGAAGGATCTCTATCAGTCCCTGACTGGTCAGAAGTTGACAGTGATTGGTCAGAGAGCTGTTTATGATCCAAAATCCCAAACTTAAACTGCCCTGGAGCAGCATAGATAGGCAGCATAAGTTGCCGTGGTAATGTAGTCTTTTAAAAAAGTGATCCACTATCCTGAGACAGAATATCCAGGGTCATATCCAGCTAAGTTTACAGTTTGCTGGCTAAGCAATATATATTCTACTTCATGAGACAGGCCCCAGATCATAAAGTAAACATCATATTTATTTAACTCAATGCTTTACTTTTAAACAATCTAAAGCACCCTGCAAATCATGTACACTGAAGCACCACTGTTCAAGAGTTGGGAATCTAAAGCCAGTTTTGTTCCAGATACATATAGCAAAATGATTCTGTGATGCAAATATTCTTTAGGTTATAAACAAACTCTAAGGAAGCTCTAAAACTATTCTTCCGTGTTGAACAGAGCTGTAGATGATTCTAAATTGTATAGCATTGAGAATGAACTTGCCATAAAATATCCAGAATGACTGATATTTGAAAAGCAGTGACCAAATTGATTGCTGATCAAATAGGTAATCACAGTAATTGTATGTCATGAAATTACTTTAAATAGATGAACAGTTAATGTTCTGCTCAACCATTTGGTAGAGCACATTTTGAGTCACTATATATGTTCTAATTTTGCCACAAAGTGCCATCTCGACAGTTTGGTAGACGTGAATATTTTAAAAACTGTGGGGTCAAAAAAACAAAAAAAAAATCCATTGCTTTTTTCTTGGTGAGAACATTAAAGGGTTAAGGGCCATATCATGGAAAATCATGGATTTTAAATAGAAGTATCTGGTACAACTTCTGATATGAAGTTTCAAAACCTTAGTCCACACAGTCTATATTTGGAACCGAAACTGCAAAAACAGCTTGTTTTGAATCCATCGTTTTTGTGATGTCACAAAAAATGACACTTTTACATATCAGTCTACATCAGTTTAGCTCCACCCATTCACCCTGACACTATAAAGAGTGTAAAGACAGAAGAGTTTTATTCTGGTCTGCTTTTGAATGAGGCACAGTACAGGACAGCCACTCAGAACAGAGGTCATCTACGTAACAGTCTTAAAGGGGCAGTAACAAAAGCAACCTTTTTCATTCTAAGGGAGAAAGAGAGGTTGGAAAATGGTCATGTAAAATGAACTATGACTGTTTTTGATACATAAAGCCACACAGATGTCATAAGAGGACGTTAGAGAAAAAAATACAAGAAAAATATAGGATATAGGCCCTACTCTTTTTTGTCATGTCATTCATGTTTTTCTGAAAATAATGTATATTATAATAAATACAAATTCTTCATATTAGGTAAACAGTTTATGTTTTGTTGTCTAGTTCATAACATATTAATCTATATTGTGGAAGCTATTACTGAATAACAATTTTTATATGACAAGTGATTCCAAACTTTTCAATGCTATTGCACTGTTCAGACAGAAAATCCATATATCGCCCAGCACTGGCCATGCAGGACTTTATGGTTACATACAATCACTAGAAGCGCTTGAGTTTCTTTTGCTCTTTTATTTTCTGCTGTTCTCCTCTCTCTCTTACACACACACATGTACACACTACAAAATATGTGCAGATTATTCTGTGAACATGTATTTTAACACAGCCAGTTGCAGTTGGCTTCCATGCAAACATTTTCACACATATTCTAAGCAGCAGCCGATCCAGCAGCTATCATCAGCCTCTATCCGTTGTGCTGAAGCTGAAAAGGCATGCCTCAAAGCACTGAGTCTCCAGTGTGAAGCCACATGTTTGTTCAGGGTTGTTGTTGCTCTGATAAAGCAAGACAGCAGTGATATTTATCTGGACAGCTCTATCTTTGGCAGTCTGCAGGCTAGTGAGAAGCAGCGCTGGCATGCAGCGGCCATGTTAAGGCAAGGCCAAGGCCGTGGTTAGCCACACGCTGCTCTCATGGCCAGAGCCATTTGAGCTGTGGTTAATGCTGACGTAATGAGGGGCTGATGAAGGGAAAGCCATAGTTATGGCCACACTTAAGGTAAAAAAAAAACAAGACCAGCTACATGGAGGGGTGAGCGGTCAGGAGAGTGTTTGAGAATGGAAAATAAGATTGTACATGAACCCTATTCTGTGGTCTTGCTTATTGGGGTTTTGCCAAGCCACCAGGTCCACTTCAGTCTGTTAGAGTATGTCGATTTACATTAATGTTTACTTTTGTATTTGCTTTTAATCATCCAGCATGAGTATGAATAATAAATAGAATATATAATGGAATGTATATAGAAGTAAAGGAAGCCTTTAGGATGGTACTGTGGATTTTTACTGGACTTTAGTCATTGCCAATCCCCATCCCCACTAGGACTCTGTTTTAAAGGGCACTATTTGTTAAGAATCCTTTTCTTCCCTCTGAGCCTTACTCTCTCTCTCTGTCTCTCTCTGTCACTTTCTCTCTGTCTTTCTCATCCAGGTGACAAGCAGAGGAGAGACCAAATCTGTTGCCAATGGTAAGTGAATTTGTCTGCCGGAAAGGCCCTCAGAGTTCAAGGTCTGAACCATATACAGTACTGTGCAAAAGTCAGAGACCACCCTTCAAAACGGCTGTTAAGTACTAAAGTTATTTGGAAAGAAACAGGAAACTTATGTAACTGAAAATTGCACAGAAGCCTTAACAAGTATAAATATAATGTCATTTTTAGTGTGTAGTGTCCACACTTTGTCTTTATTACAGCTTCCATTCTTTTTGGGAGACTTGCTTTAAGTTTTTCCAAGAAATCTGCCGGGCTATTTTTCCACACCTCCAAAGTTCAGTCTTAGAAGTTGGTTGCATTTTCTGTTTCTCAAGATCCAAGTAAGCTCAAACACATTCAGTGATGTTAAGGCTGTTCTGAGAACACAAGTGCCTTCTTTTTTTGCTTTGCAGATGTTCCTCTGTTGTCTATTTCTGTTTCTTAGTGACAGCTTCTTGGCAGCTACACATTCTTTCAGACTCATAGTGTTGAGTTGTCCTCTCACAGTGGAAGGATGAACAGAAACACCTGTGGATTTTTTCAGGTCTGAAGCGAAAGTGGAGCTTTATTTTCTCCTCTCTCAAATATGAAAGATTTCAGTACTGTTTATCTGATGGTGAGAGTTTTGCTTCAGTTTGGAACAGTTTTGGGCAGTTTGTACCAGGTCTTACATGATTGTTAGGAGTTCCAGTTCTGTATCTTTTATTAATTTTTAATAACTTCAGTTTTGGAAACTCTTGTTTTTTGACTTTTCCTTTATCTGCTGAAAAAATAGTGCTTAATTGACATTTTGACTGGAAATAAATGAGTGGTGGTCTCAGACGTTTGCACAGTACTGTATGTGTATGTAGATGTGTTTTCACCTGTCTCCTATTTTATAAAGAGTGTGTGCCCATGTACCGGTGTAAGTGTCAGGTCAGGTTAAAATTTAAAATCATGCTATTGTTAATGCTAAAAGGCAGGCTGTGTTTTGTGGGTCTGAACCTTGTCACCCACTTCCCACAACTCCACGCCTGCACCTTGGCTGCTGGGTCCCCTCCAACCATAAATCATCACTTCTGGCTCTTCGTTCATCGGTCACGACGTTTTAACATGCCTTTGTGGCATAGTGTTCTATTTCAAAAGCACACCTTTTATTCCACTAGAAGAGGACGCTGTGGCCTTCAGGCATGCCGGACATGGTTGGGTAATGGACAAAGAGTGCCTATGAACCCCCTTTACACACACACACACACGCCCTGCTCCTGCCCCCTCATTTCTTCTCATTGCATTCTAGACTCAGTCAGAGGCAGCAGCTGCCTGTTTGTCACATTACTGAGCAGGGTGGCAAAAGATTAGCATGCTAGCACGTCACACAAGCAAGTATAGGAGAGCAGCTGAGGGAAGAATTTAACTGCCCCGTCCACTGCCTCACAGCAATGATGGATGGTTCACCTGAGTTCAAAATCAGCACAGCACCAAATAATGGAACTTCTGTTGACCCTCTGTGGAATAAAAGAAAACACACAGATGTACAACGAAGCATTCTAGCCTGATGGTGACAGTCTGTCCATGCTCCACCTGCATATGCGTTCTTTTGTAGCGACTACTATGTGATTGAACAAATCTTACTGAGCATAGCTAGAAATTCTAATCAGGCTAATGAAAATTTGTAGTGCACAACTCAAAATACCAAAATTTAGAGCACATTGTTCATTTAAAATATTTGTTTTATATATATGTGTGAAAGGTGACACTGTTAGAATTGATCTCATGTACTTTTTTTGTCATGTAACTGAACTAACGTTAACATGGTGGGATAATTATTGTTGTTTTCAACCTTTTATTAGCCACAACAGCAGCTTGATAGAGTATCATTTTAAACTGTCAACAAATTGAACTGTAACAAAGCAAACTATAAAAGATGTTCCCTACAGTTTCTCATTAGATGAAGTTGGATTTGTATTAGCTACAAAAGAACCCATCTGTGGGCGGAGCATGGACAGGTCATTTCTTTGTGAAGGGCAAATGAAAACCTGGCAAGCATTAGTCATTTAAAGAAGTGCAAAGGCCAAAACTTTTCGAGCATTCGACACCCTATAGCTACTCAGTGCACTTCAGTCAGTGCTATTAAATACAAATAAACACTCTGGTTGAGAGGCCTGCTTAGCGCCGCTTATCCGTCTGATTGAAAAAGAATTAACACCCAATCAATATGATCCATGAGGAAACATTGACAGATTTGGGGGCTTTTTGTAATGACCTACACTTCCAATAGTGTGATATATTCGTTTTCTAACATTGTTTTTTTGTCTCAACAGGAACGGGCCACTAACTTTTAAAGAAGCCACAGCACCAGGGACCAAGAGAAAGCACCGTCTTCCTGTTTTTTTTTATGTGCATTTACTCATACCAAAAATAATCTTCTGCATTTCTCACTGCCCAGACATCTCAGAAAAGAGAGAAAAAGAAACAACAGGGTTTTATTTTTACCACTGCATGTTGCATAGTTCTAATTACAGCATAGCGCTTAGCATAAAGCCTTTTTTTATACTAGAAACTAGTCTGCAGTGTGGGCATTTAGAAAGACCTGCATACGGAGAAAACAGTTATCAAAAGACCCAAAGTTGTTTTTTAAGATAAGAATAGATTAAATAGAGCAACCTATTTAAATGGCCCCTGTTATTTCATGTCATGTTAAACGGTTTTTTTTTTTTGGTTTTGTTTTTCTTTAAAATTCTTCTCTGCTAGTCACCCTTCACACTTTTTAATTTATAATTAAAGCAAAGCTTCACGTATTGGTATTTTATTCATGTTCACCAGTCCAGGGCAGAATATGAGCACCCATAGAGTAGAGTATTTTTTACGTTTGTCATAATGACACATTTTTAATAGTGAAACTATGGTCTTAATAATATATGTTAGCACATAGTGTATGTTTTTTGTAATTAACTATATATTTTATATGTTGCCGCTTTATACGAGATGATGTCCTTGCTTTTGCTCTCAATATCATATGTTCAATCAAGTTTAAACTCATTATAGACATTCCATGATTATTATTCCATTTTTTTCTCATTCACTGATGTTTCGAGCGCTTTTTCAATCAGTGTAGTCATGATATTATCTGATTTCTAATGGACGTAAAGGCTTCGCTCTGCACTGAATAAAGGGAACATACACTTCTTGACCAAAATGAAAAACTGAAAAAAAAAGACCTGTGGCTTTCACAAGCATTTCTTTGCATTTAATGCTTATTCTATTACAAACCTTCAGTTGCCATTATCGTTATCAAAAAGCAATTATGCTCAATATGTTAGAGGACAGGAGGGTGGCTTAGAGCCATTACTGAGGACCAATGTTGTTTCTGTTGTCTGCTTGTTTTGTTTTTATGTTTACTCAGCACCAACTCATTTAGACTATAACACTATTCGACTTTGGCAACTACACAGTGGGACAGGCTGGCGGGCTGGTAGTCAGTGGCCTGTTGGATCAGCAGTTTTCACAAGTCATGTGACCGACAGCCAGTGTATTTCTGGCTTTTTTGGAAGAAAACCAGTATGTTCTCCCCAGATCAGTAATGTGATGATGATGTGTTTTAAAATGTGAACAGTTCTGTGTTCTGGTCTTAATTTTGACAATCATTGACACAATGTGGATAAGTTATCTATCGCAACTGGTATTTTTCCATGTTGAATTATTGACTCATAAACAATTCTGTTTAGAATCGGGGTAACTCTATGCAAACCACACCTATAATTCCATTACCTTGTCAAAACTTTGACCATGTTTATTGTAGCCTGTAGTGTCATATGGAACAACTTTTTACATGTTATAGCATTGACTCCACAACTGCAATAAAGAGATCAATGTAAAAAAAACTCATGTCTGCTCTGAGTGCTTGTTAAACTGTTTTCACTGATACAGATTAGCCTAACCTAGTGTAGCTGTCTCATCTAGCACAAGCAAATAATTTAGTGTAACTAAATTACAATGTCAGCGGAGCTTCTCTATGAAAATCCTTTTTAGTCTAGGCTCAGTTTGTGTCCAGGAAATGGATGCCATGACTCTTGATTGTCATCATATCTGCACCACCCCCCCAAACACTAACAATAGAGCCAGTGACACTAGTGACACTGTCCAATAAGAGAGGAGCACAGGGGTCACATGGGCCCACAGGTCTCTATTAGGTGAGCTGTATTTGAGTTTGCTGGAAACTGTCTGCGTCCTAGGCCCTCGAGAATAAGACTCCATCCTTCTCCTTGTGGACATCTCAGGTAAGAGGCCAGGGGACGTCTTCCTTTTTCATTTTTTTTTTTTTAAAGTAATTCTCCACTGGCCTTAAGTGGGTTTGTCTCACAGTAACTGATACTCACTTCAGCTGCATGCTCGTTGGCTTGTGTTCAACATTTATGATGTATCCCTTCACCAAAGTTTCCCAAAAAGTGAGAGGCGAGAAGCCTGAGGTTTAGCCCCTCTGTACCAGGGACACAGACTGTGCTCTGCTGTCCAAGGGGACTGGCGGTTTGCATGCTTTGGGGTTTTTGCTTAATGCTGCTTAATGCAGTGACTATCGTCAGTCACATTCCTGCTGCTGGCAGGGCTGTGTTATTCCAGCCTTTCCGCCAGGGCAGAAGTAGCTGCACTTATTAAAGTAAAACTTTGGTAATACCTCAGAGAGACAGCTAATCTACTGCAAAGACTGGCTGGATTTGGCTAGAGTGGCTCTGAGGCAGCGTTTGTAGACTTCTGGCCTCTGCATCTTCACACTCAGTGAAGTGCTTTATTGGCTTTGGAATATACCTTTAAGCCAAGTTTATCTCAATGCAGAGCAAAGAGAGTGTGTCCAAAGTGATTTGGCCTATGTATTACATAGTTGTAAGGCATCATGAACTTGAAAGTCCAGTAGGAGACCTTTTACTCGATGGCCTGAGCAGTATTCAGGGGCTTTTTGAAAATGTTTCCTAGTAGAAAAAATTAAACTATGCAGCATAGCACGTAGAATAGTACAGTATAGTATAACATGGTAGATATTATGTGTAGTATGATACAGCATGCAGTATGTAGTAAATATAGTATGCACAGTGACATATAATATGGGATCTATTGTGTAATATTACATATGTGGAATGATACAGCATATAGTGTACCTCCATACTATATTTCTACATACAGACATCCATAGACTACAACAGCATATGCTACAATAAAACAAAGAGACAATAGGAGTGCTGGGCATGGAACATTGACCTGACCAAACAGTGCTTGTTTCAAAAATAGATGACAAGGACACAGGCACTCTTGATTTACTCTGCAAATGAATGGCAGGCTTGCATGAGATCAGCCAAGTTCATTGTTTGCAAGAGCATGTGGCACCTGTTCCAAACCATAGTTTATTATTCTTAAAAATAACCCTTCACCCCCCCCAACCTACATCACTTGCACCAGCTCTTTTATGATCCATTGATTTATTTTCTGATTTATTGTTTAAGTAATGCCATCCAAGGTTTCAGTCTTCAGACCTACACGCATTCTCATTTGGAGGTTCATTAAAGTTAGAGATGGGGAATAAATGAATACCTTTTTTAGTCTCCACATCCAGATATCAGAGCTGTGAGTGTTAATCAAACAATAAAAATAGCACGTCTCTAGATGAAAGAAGGGGTCATGTCCACAGGAAATAGTTCTATGGTATTTGAACAATGACACTGGCCAAATAAATCACATGACCTCTGGCCAAAAGTTTGGAGTATTAAAAAAAAGGTTATAGGTTCCTCAGTGGTTCTTGGCTTGGATGTACAGTTCCAGGAAAAACCTTTAATTGGTGTAGAACCTTTACATTATGTATTTTTTTGGGTAACACTTTAGTATGTGGGGACATTAAAGTGTCCCTATAATGCGCTTACCCTGTAAACTTAAATTAGTTGACTTTAAAAATCATGCATACCTATTGCCTCGAAAAAGTAAAATGAATAGGCTCAAGGTTAAATAACATTATATACTGTCAGTGCAGTTGTCATGTTTTACACCATATTAAGCATTAACAAGGCAGTAGTTGGTAGTTACCAGGCTAATCATTAGCCTGTGGTATTTAGTGGTAACGAGGGTAAATAAACCAGAAGTATTAAGCTGTTGTTACTGCTGTAATAATGCTGTAATAAGCAGCCAGTTAGTAGAAGTTATTGTTATTGGCTTAAAAAGTTAGTTACCTACTATTGGCTTGATTAGGCAAATATGGGAATAACAGATATCTAACATGTGCAAAAAGTTATTATATATAAAACAAACAAAAGTACTCTAGAATGTGGAGATATAGTAATAAGGAGCTTTAACATTACAGGGGCAAGGTAATGTCCCCCTATATTCAGGTGTTACTCAAAAAGGTTACAAAAGATGGTTCTTTGAAAAACCACCTATTGAAAGGTTCTTTAGGGAGCCCTAAAGGAACCTTTGGCACCCTTTTTAAAAAGTGTAGTGTAGAGGAACAAAATATGAGATATAATATAGAGCCCAAAATCTAAACCTACATCCGATGGTGAGGTCATCAACTTTCTCTGATGTGTAGTGAACAAGTCAAGTTTTGAAAGTGCTCCTGTAACAGATGTGTCTCTTGTTGCTCTCAGGAACCGTGTAGTCATGTCTGATACAGAGGAAGTGGTGGAGGAGGAGATGCAGTAAGTATGACTAATTAACGCTACATTGCACCACTATTTATCTCTTTGGTACATAATTTGATCTCCATAATATTAAACTTTTCCTCAATACCAAACTATTTAACTCATTATTGTGTCCTCTTTATTCTCTTCCTGTCTCTCTTCACACGCTGCTCACACAGGGAAGAAGGTAAGGTCACTAGAACACAGAGTTTGTTATTAGTAGGTCATTAATTAATTCATGTTATTGCTATAAAGAAATGGAATCAGTCCATAAAGAAAGCAAAACTAGCACAGCTACAGATTTGCTGAAGATCTGTAATTACATGATTTAGATGTCAAAGACGTAACACTTCAGATACACCGATCAGGCATAACATTATGAGCACTGCTGTCTGATTCACTCAGACCAGCGCAACACACACTAACAAACCACCACCACATCAGTGTTACTGCAGTGCTGAGAATGATCCACCACCCGAATAGTACCTGCTCTATGAGGGTCCATGGGGGTCCTGACCACTAAAGAACAGGGTAAAAGGGGGCTAACAAAGTATGCAGAGAAACAGATGGACTGCAGTCTGTAATTGTAGAACTACAAAGTGCACCTATATAGTAAGTGGAGCTGATAAAATGGACAATGAGCGTAGAAACAAGGAGGTGGTCAATATGTTAAGCCTGATCGGTGTAATTGTCTAAGACTACAAACAACAGAAAAACTGGGCATCATCCAGAGGGTGCATGTGTGTCATGTGTCACTCTGTTTATATGTGGTATGGATATCAATCAGGTCTATAAGTTATATTCAATAAATCTAAAGAACTGTGCAAAATTTAGAGACCACCCTTTTATTTATTAAATGGCCAGTCACAATGGTGATTAAGCACAAATTAAGTACAATTTTAGTAAAAGTCATTTTTGCTGGCAGGAAAAAAAAAGCATAACATTGTTGTCCAAAAATACAAGCATCTCCATTTTTTTAATGTTTTATTTTTCTACGTCTTTGAGTTTAGCCGCTGTCCCTTACACTGTGTAAACAGGTTGTAATGATTCGACCAAAAGAAATTATCTTAAAGTTTTTGGAATAAAACTTCTTTACATTAACTTGCATTAAAAGTAAAGACAAGTTTTGCCTTCTCCTGTAAACATGCCATTTTGGAGATACTTGTTTTTTTTTGTTTTTTTGGACAGCAAGGATATATTAAGCAACAAATATAAATTAATAGCAAATCTATCAATATTTAATCTGTTTGTAGTTGTCAAAGGAAAAGAAGTGAAAAACATGATGAAAATATACAGACAAAAGGGACTCCTAACAAACATGCAAGACCTGGTAGACCAGCAAAACTGTCACCATCAGATAAACAGCACTTAAAGCTTTCATCTTTGAGAGGGAGGAGAAAATCAAGCTCCACTCTTGATTCAGATCTGAAAAAATCTACAGGTGTTTCTGTCCATTTTTCCACTGTGAGAAGACAACTCAACACTATGAGTCTAAAGGATGTGTACACACTTAAAAAAGATGGTTCATCAAGGGTTCTTTAGTAAAGGTGATGATTCTAACCATGAGTTATATATAGAAATATTTCATGCAGGGTTCTTGCATGATGAAATCGTTCTTCAGATCAATGGAGAATGTGCTATAGATGGTTCTATATACAGCCTTTTTGAAAATGGTTCTAAATATTACCAAAAAGAGTTCTGCTATTGTTAAAAGCTTGACATGGTAACAATAGAAGAACACTTTTTGGTGCTACATAGCACCTTTTTCAAAAAGATTCTATACAGAACCATAAACAACACACTCTCCATCAATCTGAAGAACCATTTTGCAATGCAGAGAACCCTTTAATCATGCAAAGGGTTCTTTGAGTGTCCATGGTTCTATATAGAACTATTTTCTTTACTAAAAAAACATCTTTTCAAGAGTGTCGAGCATAAGGTCCTAAAATCTAAAGAACCATTGCTTTCACTAAAAAGCCTTGAAGAACCATCTTTTTGAAGTGTGTATCTGTCAAGAAGGTCATCCTGAGAAAAGGAAACAGACAAAAAAAGAACATCACTCAACATCACTGAATGTGTGTGGGAAAGAAAATGCAGACTGAAGACCAAAAATGAAGGTGTGAAAGGTGGAGGTGTGAAGAAACATCCCTGCAGGTTTGTTTGAAAAACTGAAAGCAAGTGGAAAAGGAATCTGTAATAAAGTCAAAGAGTTGACCCAATAAATGCTGAAATATTTTATATTATACTTAATTGTTGAGGCATCTGTGTAATTGTCTGTTAAATATGTACTTAATGGCCATTTTTCTCTGGAAATTAAATCAGTGAAAAGGTGGTCTCTGACTTTTGCACAGGACTGTATATTACAGAGTCTCATTTTCAGCCTCAGTGAAAGTGGTGTGTGTGCACCATATGAAAAACATCTGCTAGTTTCCTTTATTCTTACAAAGAAAACCATGAAACTGATAAACTGCTGCGCTGTAATGTTCTCTCCTGCCATATTATTCAGAGGTATAAGTATGATTTCAGTCCAGATCTTCTAATCATCTATTGTGTGGATCTCAATGTTCTGACAAAGGTGATAACTGAACGTGCTTATTGGTGAAAATTTGGAATAATCATCTAATTTAAACCCCTTAAATTCCCAGGATTATTACATCCTAAGGCTTATTATTAAGTAGCTAAAAGAAAAGCAATGCAATTCAACAGAACAGAAGCATGGTCCTACCAGCAGGTCCTGGACATTTAAGGGGTCTGTCATGACAGTACAACACTCTTTACACTTAAATTCTAAAACTGGCCTGAGAAATTTCATTTGGACAAAGTTGTACTTTTATAGAATGAACATGTGCTTTTTCTGCTTTTGGCTGTATTTGTCTACTAATCACCATTATGTCCACTCAGTTGAGGAGGAGGTCACAGAAGAAGGTAAAGCATGGCTTCCATGTTGACTTGCTGTTACTGCATGTTGACGTCCACACATTTAACAGCAGTGGTTTATTCATCCTCTATAATGTTAAGGTAACATTGGTCAATAGCGTGACTGGTCAGTACCCTCATGTCTTTGTGGTTTGTTGAGTACCCACAACACATCCTGTTAGACACCCTTCTTAGAAACATCCTCTCTGTGCTCCCATTCACTTTTTTAGTCCTAGCTAAAACACTGGCAGTTGCTTTAAGAGTGCTATTGTGCAGTTTACTAATGTTCACGTTACTCCAGTAATGCAGTGTTCATTGTTTAACAGAGCTGCGCTGTACTGATGTCAAGATTGCAAATTGCATGTATTGCAATTGCAACTTGACGTGTAGAACAATAAAACACGTATTTCTACACAACATAGAGCTTCATTATTTTCACAGAAAACTTTTCAGATTTTTTTCAAAAATTCTGTGATTGATGGAAACTCATTTGCATATTCTGGCCATTTGTAGTACTATATTGCAATGACCAGAAGGCTTATTATTCATATCTACAGGGACTTCAATGCGCACTGGTTGAGCTGTTCTTAAGTTATGAAAGTGTGTAATAAAACTTTGAACACTGGTCATTTAAGGGGTTAACTAAGCCTCTGTCATATACAGTTGTATGAGATAATGGATACAGCTGATGTATAATGAAAAACATTTTTATTAAGCTAATCTAGGTGGTACTGATCGTAATATAGTGCTGATATGTCCTGTATGTGTAAAGCCCACTCCCAAGAACGTATATCATGAAAAACAGCCTTCCTGAAAGTGGTCTATAATGTTTTTTGGAAAGAAACACTTTAAATACTTAGTATTGCTCTTTGAAAATCATTATGTAGTGCTTATGCATGCATCATGAAGCCTCTATGTATGTATGTATGTTTGTATGTATGTATGTAGGCAGGCCTCAAATAAAGTTTTACTTTGAGTAGGGTAGCAGTGGTCAGTTTAAATAGCCATTAAACACACTGATTATAGCTTATGCAGCATTTTCTGAAACTTTTTTCCCTCATTTCACTGTTTCAAGCTATTTTTTGCTGGATGTTCCTTTACTGTAACCTTTATTTATTAATCAATCGATCAATCTTATCTTCTGGTCGTAGTGCCCGCCCCTGAAGTGGAAGGTAAAGCTTACGCTTTTTATATGCATGCAGTTCACTCACTCACTCACTCGTTCAGTCAGTCACTCACTCATTCATTCATTCATTCATTCATTCATTCATTCAATCATTCAGTGAGGATTTGAGTGATTTAGATGACTAATATAGCACTTTCTGGTATTAGTCAAGAGCTGCTTATATTTCTTTGTATTTTCATCTATGCTGTTTTCAAAAAAACATCAACAACAACAACAACAACAATAATAATAATAATAATAATAATAATGAAATCACCATTGCATCTTTCAAATATCATCAGTGTGTTCTTTTTAATAGCCTCATGGTACAGTTATGAATGTACAATATATTGTATTTACAGTAAATATTTTACAGTATTTTACTGTATATTAAATTGGAAACTGTAAATTACTGTAAATTGCATTGTCTGGTATGTTACTGTAAAATGCTGTAAATGCCTAATCTTTTACAGTATCATCCTAGAAAATAACAAACCAGTATTTTGTAAGACAAATACTTTAAATGTACAGTATTTTTACAGGGTAGTTTTTTCTGCTTTTTGTACTCCTTACATCTAAATTCTTAAACTTGATCTTGTATCTTCAAATACTATATTTTCATATCAGAACCAGAAGATGAAGTAGAAGGTAACCCCATGATCATGCACACACTTCCATTCTCAATTTATTACATGTCTATCCTGTTTATGGCACTTCTTTTTTACCAGTTACACTTACGTTTCATATGTTTAACCTAATCCTATTTCTTGATTTCTTTTTACTCTTCACTTTTACCTAAAATCTTGTGTCTTCAAACATTTTTGATTTTCCATGTCAGAAACAGAAGTAGAAACAGCTGAAGTAGAAGGTAACCCCACAACTCTTCTCTCACCTTGTGTTCTCATTTTCATTTTACAATGACTATAATGTTCATCATGAATATGAGAATCGTTCACTACAGCACAGTACATACCACCTTCTTCAGACTGGACACAGTTGCATTTTGGGTCTTGGTACTGAGGCATGTTGAACTGCTGCATGTATGTCAAGGATTCACAACAAATGTCTGTCCATAAGTCTTGCATCTCAAAATGCTCAGTATCGTCAGTGCTGGAGTTGATGGAGAATGGCATCGCCAGTCAGAACATTGGGTTATCACTGATCAGAAAGCAAAAACTTCCGATTATGGCTGTAAAAACGTGTTATGTGATTTGTCAGTACACATTGGTTTAATTATATCTGAATGAATCATTTCTCTTCTGTGTGTTTAAATGAATGATTTCTTCTAAATATCAGCTCCTGCTGAGGAGGAGGCTACAGGTAATACTTATTCTTTTATATTGTCTACTGATACTACATGTAGATAATACAGATTTTACTCAGCTCATGATTAAGTTTATTTTCACTGCAAGTAACCCAAACAAAATGCTTCCTACAAAATGGCGTCTGTGAATGTGTTCATAAAATGACAAAATGCCAAAATCACATTTTTTCAGCTTGTAACATTTGCAACCAGCTATCTGTGGAATGGAAAAGTTTATGTTCAATCTGTCTACTTTATGCTAAAGCTAATGATCATCTGATCTCTTGTTTTAGATGAGACGAAACCAAAGCCAAAGTAAGTGCTTCCTTCAGTTAAGCTAGCCTCATTTCACACACATAAGCACATTTTCATGAGTTAAAGAAAAAAAATGAAGTATATGAATGAAATAATTTAAATTAATTAAATGAATACAATCATTTTCAGGATGTTCATGCCAAATATTGCAGCTCCAAAGATTCCTGAGGGAGAAAAAGTGGACTTTGATGTAAGTTTTTTTGCTTTAGTTTGGATTTGGAATCCACATGCCTGCATCTAGGGGTCCAAAAATCTGAGAGCACTAGTGAAAAAGCTTCTATTTTGTTTTCTTTTCTAATTTAATACAAAGTGTTTTCATTACAAATGACATTAGCAGCATTAAATGTGAGTGAAAAGTAGACTCTTTGAAGTATTTTCATGAATTTCAGAATTCTGTAGTATTTAGTACTGTATGCCCCTTTTCCTTTAATGACAGCGTGCACTTGACTCCACAAGTTTGTGCAAAAGTCTCTGATGAGGAGACCAAATCTACCTGAGACTCATCAGAGCTCGAGCTTCAATGGAAGATATGAGACTTTTTGGACAAAGGCCTTCACCTGATCAATCTCACAAATTAGCTTCAGTGTGAATAGTGATCTAGAAATAGTGCAGAAGCTCAAATATCATGAATTATACTATTTTTTTCAACTTTCTGTTGAATATTTCCATTTTTCAATTGAAAAAAAAACTCCCAGATTTTCAATGTGGTTTCACTTTTGGACCCCGCTGTATGCGTCAATGTGTACTCTTATAGGTATACTAGTGATGACCAATAATCTCTCAGGTACAATACTTTTCAAGTATGAAACCACTTTTGTCTCACCTAAATAAAAAGATATAAAATGTATTCAATCTACAAAATACTAGTTTCATAGTTTTTCAAATATTTAGGAGGAAGTTAAGAAGCGGTTGAAAATTGTAGATGTGTCCAGGCAGTTCCAAAATGATTGAAAGAGCTGTAGAGCATGAAGAATAGAGTTATAATAAAATGAACATTCACAATGCTTTGAATTTGAAAAGTGGCGATCAAATCTTGAGGTAGATAGGTTTACAAAAACATATTGTAAATAGATAATTACAGTATATAATTTACAGTATATAATTAATCAATATCCTTGAAATGTTTTAGAAAACATCCTGATATATAGTTTATAAGATTTCAAGTTTGTTAAAATGGCATTGTATGACACGTAAGTGCATGAAATAATGTTTATACACTGAGCCAAACTAGTAAGAAATTTAAGTATCAGACAATACAGTACAAATTCAGTCATATTAAAAAGTCTAGGTGCCCCCTGGTTAAAGCTGTGCTTTGTACGGTTTTTGTTTGTTTGTTTGTTTGTTTTTGTTTTGTTTTTTTTACTGAAAGAAGTAGCATTACTGCATCAGGAGAAAAAATACATTAAAATATGATTTGTATGCGCTGCTACCAAGTCAACCTGTAAAGCCTCAAATGGTAATTTAAAAGTCAGTGTGTTGGGATGGATTTGGCAGTAGTTTTTCAAACCATGCCACACATCTATACATATTAACCTCACATTCACAGGCTCAGAAAGATGGTCCCTCTTAATGTTTAGTCTCAAATCATTCATCTACTTTATACTGATGAAGATACACAATGGTAGATAGTTCACTTACACAAGACACATTGTTCACCAAGCTTTGACTGAGTTGTCTTTGAATACTCTTTGAAAGTGCTCGAAATCATCAGATTCATCAGCTCATGATGATCCGAAGTACAACTGATAGTACAAAATGTTTCTCTGCACATTGCACACATTTCCACCAGAGAGGCCACCAAATCCCCAAATGTTACATAGTGCTGCTTTAAATGATGTGTTTTGTTGATTTTCTAAGTGAAAAGACGTTAACACACCCTCTACAGGAAACTCACGTCTGCTCATTTTAATGCACAATTACTGTTTATTTGCTGAATTTAACATATTGGAAAAAAATAAAATGGGGAATGTGCAAAAGTTATCACACATTTTATATTGTATCATTTTTTTTTCTCCCAAATATGTTAAACTCAGCAATTAAGTAGAATTTGTACACTACAATTTGCAGAAAATGCCAAATTTAACTTCGTTCTATGTAGAGGATGTGTTTAAACTTATTTACACTTAGAAAAGTGTGTCAGTGGTGTTTCAATATATACATTTCAAGTAAATATGGTTAACATGTTAAAATATATAGAAAAACAAATGTATAATCTACATTTACAAGTTTAAATCTATATTGAGTTATATTTAGTTATATCTAAACTATAGTTACTTAATATATTAATAAGTAATAAATGTATATAAAACAACACAGATTATTACTATGACGAGTGATTCCACGCTTTTGAGCATTAATGTATAAAAAAACGAACTGAAAGAGCATTACCCCTAAGGTTTAGGTTTAGGTTTAGGTTTAGGTTTAGTTTAAGGTTAAGGTTAATGTTAAGGTTGTTACAGTGTCATTTATCACAGGTGCAGTAATTTGTGTATGTGTGTGCAACAGGACATCCACAGGAAGCGTCAGGAGAAGGATTTGGCTGAACTGCAGTCGCTCATCGAAGCTCATTTCATCCAGAGGAAGAAGGACGAGGAGGAGCTTATTGCTCTGGTCAATAGGATTGTAAGTGCTGTTTATATACAGGAGTCCCACAGCAGTTAAGTCTTGGTCTATCAGAGCTAACTAGCAACTGACCACTCCTTTCATCTGGAACTGTGTGCAGGAGAAGCGTCGTGCAGAGAGGGCAGAACAGCAGAGGATCCGCACAGAGAAAGAAAAGGAAAGGCAAGCCCGTCTGGCGGTGAGTGACATATCTTTCCTGGCCAATCACATCCAGCCATACAAAAACCAGTACACATCCATGAGGAAAAGAACTGAGTAAACAAAGAAGTATTTCCCTTTGACTCTCCACAGGAGGAGAAGGAGAGAAGAGAGCAAGAGGAACAGAGGAAGAAGCAGGATGAGGATGCCAAGAAGAAGAAAGCTCTTACCAACATGACGCACCAGTATGGTGGAATCCAGCAGAAGGTCAGACTTTTAGATTATACACTGATAAAACATAAAGAAGTGAAAGAAGCAGAGCTCTCAGTGTTAACAAGAGTGTCTAGCACTAGAAGGCTACTGAGCTTTCTAGTGTGATCTTCTTTTGGCCTCTGCATAAAAGCTAATTCTGTAGGATTCTGCTGACAAACACTCAATCAAGTCTGTTTTTTTATACCACCAAGACACATCAGCATGTTAGAGGGGACTATCTGGAGCATGAGCGCTCTTTTCCTTAGAGAACAGGCTATGTGAGATCTTTTTCCTTTTTCCTTAGGCTATGTGAGATCACTGAAGGCCTCCTGGCTGACCAGTAAATAATGAGCAAAATTTTAGGCTTGTATCTTCACTAGTTCCTGAGATATAGAGACTTTAAAAAGTGGACATGGCCTTAATTTTTGCTGAATTTCCTCATGTTTTGAAATAAAAGTGTTTGATATAGAATATAAACATTGCTGAAATATTTGAACATAACACTCACACCCCAGTCTATACAGTCCCAACATAAATACTAAGCTACAAAAGCAGCCTATTTTAAATTCATTGTTTCTGTGACGTCATGAAAATCAGTGCATTTCCATATTTCATATTTAATCTAATGAACATACAGCAGTTTAGCTTCACTCACTAACACTGACGTTATAAGGAGTGTTTCAGCCTGGATGGCTTTTGAAATGAGGCACAATACAGGACAGCCAATCAGAACAGAGCTCATTTACATATATTTACATACAGCAATACATGTTAGCCATTTTATGACTTGCTGAAAATATAATAACAATAAATTTTTGCACGGTGGGCAAACTTAATGACTTATTAAGTAGAAAGAATGATTCATATTCCCTAATATCTTGGAATAATGATCTATTATGTCATATGTTATTTACTTTCAACATTTTGATTTAATATTTCAAAATAATGGCTTGCTATGTTGAAATAATGATTACATATTAAGAAAGTAAGTATTGTTCACTGTTTATTTTTAGACAGTAAGGCATCATTTTGAGATAAAAAGTCATAATGTTGAGAAAATAAGTCATTATTTTGAGATACTAATCATAATTTTGACATACTGCAACCAGAAACAGAGAAGGAAATATTTGTTTTTTTCTTCTGTACTGGGCAGGAATGAGCTTCTGTATCTCCACAATGAGGGACATCAGCTTTTTCTTAATGTGCTTCATTGTGGAAATACTGAGACCCACATTTGCTCAAATGCACATAAATAAATAAACAAAAATCTCATTTTAATGACATTTGTTTAATGATTTGAGCTTTTTGGTTTTGTTGCTGTATTTTTCTTGAATTTGGACCTTTGATACATTTCACTGTCAGATCTTCTGTTCTTTGTTTAAACTTAGTCCACACATCTTACTCTGAGGTCTCTCCCTGACAGATGGAGGGTCGTAAAGGAGCAAAGAAACAGACTGAGAGGGAGAAAAAGAGGAAGATCCTGGCTGAAAGGAGAAAGCCACTCAACATCGACCATCTGTCTGAGGACAAACTGAAGTGAGCCATTGCCCTTTGACACGCAGCACAGCACAGCATTCATTCCTGTACAAAACCAGCTCCCTCTGGCACGTCACTGCTCACTCACTGGGGCCGAGAGCTTCCAGATCTAGTTGTGGTTTTGAAAATGTCAAAGTGACCAAATGTCGGACTTGACTCTGCAGGGAGAAGGCCAACGAGCTGTGGCAGTGGATGATGGAGCTGGAGGCTGAGAAGTTCGACCTCAGCGAGAAACTTAAGAAACAGAAATATGATGTAAGTGTACTACAGTTTCTTGTGGTTTATCCTAAAGTTCAAAAAAGAATAGTTGAACTCTTGTGATGAAGACATTACATAATATTTGAACTCTTGTTACTGAGATGTTATGTAACTATGAGATGTTACATAATTTGGTCCAGTACATTGTGGTATCATTGGAACAGAATCCATGGATGTGTCTGGATCAATTAAGAATTTAACCCCTTAAATCCTGAACGTATTGTTCTGTTCTTAATTGTAGGACCTATTATTCAAGCAAATACTATGAATTATTTAGTAACTACTATGAAACTGAAGTGTAACATATGTACTTACGAGAGCGAAGAACCCACACATAAGCCCGCATGGTTTAAGGCATGCATGTTAAACTGGTGACTTTCCAGGCCAAAGTGCTGCGGAGATTAGCATTCACCCTCATCTAACGCTCTGAATTCAGTTCATGAAGGCCTTGCTAATTGGCTGATGAGCTGAATCAGGTGTGTTTAATGAGGTAGCATGCTGAAGTCTGCAGTGTTTTGGCCTGCCAGGACTGGAGCTTGAAGCATTTGGTTTAAGGGGTTAATACCAATCAGAAAAGTGTGAAAATAAATGCTAGTAAAATGGACATTTGAAGGAATACACCAGCGTTTTTCAGCCAAATGTCTATCTGATAAATCTGTAACATATGGTTCGTTACCATGGATGATCATTTTAACACAATTTCCTGTACTTCGTAAACAAACAGAAAACTACTAACTCGAAATGTACTTATAACAGATGTGGATGGCCAGGTGCTAAGGTGACCCATAACTATTTGTGTTAGGCTTTCAGCTTAGTTCTGTCTAAACTTGGTCAAACACACCTCAGTGACTAATTTTCCCCTATGGGATTCTAGTAGTGTGTTAACGCTAAACTAATGGCAATTCACATGAACATTTTTTGTCCGTTTTGGAATTAATTACAGACATTTGAAGCTTATAAAATGCATTGCATGTTTTATTTGAAGCTTAACAGATATTATCATATATTATACCTTGTAGCAGTTTTACAGTGGCTCTTTCAGTAAAGATCCCTGATACAAAGCTGTAACATCTGACTGAAATGCACTGATCAGGCTACCGCTCATATTCACAGTCAGCGACGTATTTAGGGCTAGAGTGATGTGTTTTCTCACAAAATTGTTCCCATCTATTGTAAGCCGGATGTGATTCCTATTTATGTTAGTGCTTATTCTGACACATTAGGCCTTCAGTTCAGCTCTTGAAGTCCTGACCAATTGTGGAGCTAGCTTGGCTGTATCTACCTAGATGGCACAGAGAAAAAATCCTGATCGGACAGTTTTCTTTTGTGTTTCAAGAATTCAACCCTTTTGTCTCCGATCAAATAATTTAACTATTTTCTTTCCAATCAAAATGTAACAATTAAATAAGAGCAGAACTACAGCACTTGCCCAGTTTGCACACAACAAGCATGATGCTAATGTTAAATAAAAACAAACTAAAATTACACACTTTTTTATTTCACATAAATCATTAGGCCTTCTCTGAAGGTTTAGAAGGTTCTGGGGGTTCACTACTGATTTGAGTCAGTGGGCTTTCTGATCATTTATAAATACAGGGATATGACTGTCCTTGCAGTATTAACGGTATGGCACAGATGTGGTAGATAAAGGTTGAAAAACACTGTATTCCTTCAACGTTTTCTTGCCTCTCTATCCACTCTATCACCAGTCAAATAGCTGAAGGACAGCTATTAAAACTGTGACTTGCTTGCAGATGACTCTTCTCCAGTCCAGAATCAATGAACAGCAAAAGTTGTAAGTAACTGGTTGTGAGGACGGTGACCTCACTGTTGTGAAGCCTGGTGTCAGTAACTGTGGTTAGACTTACCTCGGGTCTGGGGTCTCGCTCGGTTGCGGCTGCAGGTGAAATTCAGGTGACTAGCAGGGTTCGGTCAGGTGCTGGTTCTCATGTGGACATCCTCGGATCTCTCAGGTTCCCTCTTTGCTGCTCTTGCCGATATGTCTTGTCTTTTGGTGCTTAGCAAGGCTTCCGTATGTGTTCCATCTTACAGATCACTCAGCTTCTGGCTCGAGTCAGGGATCACCAGAGGTAAGTACCATCGAACCACCCTGGTCACATTCCCCCCAGTGTTAAAGGGTTCTGGGCTGGCAAACTGAGGCACTCCTGTCATTCAGAAATAAACTACTCAGTGATGCGCATATGATCAGCTGACTTTGGGTTTAATCTGACTGGCAGGAGTGCAAAATGAACATTAACTCTAGGGCTGCACAATATCACCTGTTAATTATTATCGCACTTTTGGCCTTGCAATAACGCAGAAGGCTGCAATATGCAAATGAGCCCTCTAACCAATGACAGTGGTGTTTACTGTTTGAAATTAGCATCATAAACAATCATAGATCCACAGTTCTTTTTTTTTCAATGGGCTCATGTAATTCAACAAAAGTACACTGTGATCAAAATGTATGAATATATAAACATATCAATCTATCATAGATAGATAGATACCCTATATAAGCATAGGGTATGTTCAATATTTTAAACTCCACGAAAAATCAAATTATGCACTAATATTTACAAAAATTAAATTATCTGTTTACATTTACTCCCTGTATATGTTGTGTTTACTTATTTTCATAAAACTGTTTTTTTGTCTGTACTGCAGCCCTGACAAACAGTAGTTGTCTGAACTGAAAGCCTAATAGCCCACCAGACCTTTTGATACCACAAGATGCCCAGAGGAGTGAGCTCAGAGCATGTGGTCAGGCTCAATCCCACAAGCTAGCTGGCATTGAGGGGGTGAAACTTTAGGATTCTTTAAATGATCCTAAAAAGACCAGGTTCTGTGGCTCCTCCACTTCCTCCCTTTCTGTCCTCCCTAAAACATTCAAGCAAATATAAAGCCTAAACTAAAAAACATCACAGTATAGGGAGAAATTTTAAAGTAGTGAATGTCTAATTGATAGCCTTCAGATATTCTCATGAACTCTAGCTAGATAACAGTCATTAGGGCATTTCCACTGCATTTGCTCTTTGGGCAGAGGTGAGGATGCTTCAGCAGGAACGGTAAGTTTGGAGTAAATATCTAATCTGCCTTTGGTAAGTTGATTAAAGGACATGATCACTTTGGTGCTTTATTCCTCTGTGTCTTTAAGAGGTGGTGTGCGTTCTCGTTTAACCCCTTAAAAGTGCCAGGGGTCCACTGGTGGACCAAAACTTTTCTTACACACTTCTATAACCTAAGAAAAGCTCAGTGGGTTTAAGGGGTTAGAGCAATGCTGTGTTTGCATGTTATGCATATGGTTTTGTTTTGGGGTTTGTGCTGTGAGTGCCAGCTAATCATAACATTTGTGTCTTGTGTTTTATTTCTTAATGTATTTCTGAATTCTACATTTTCTGAAGCTTATGGTCTAGCTGTCAAGACCTAATACTTTGACACTGTAGCAACCTTTGATTGTGATTACTGAGCTATAGGTTGCTTATTCATTTGAATAGAAACCTTGAAGAGTAGAAAGAGGTAGGACAGCACTCGTATAATTTACCAATTACTGTTTATTAGGCTCAGAAAAAAAGCACAGACGCATTTCGACACACCGCCTTCCTCAAAGTGATCATGATTTTGTAGCTACCACTCCATTAAATAGTACTACTAATTGCATAAAGAGGGCCATATGTGATGTCACTGGAAAGACTCACAATTACCAACAAGGCCAATAACAGTGTCATTAGCACAATGAGGAAGGCTTTTTTCAGTACAAGTTTTTTTTTCACAAGGAGGGTAACTTTTTATGACTTTTTGTTGTTTGTCAATATAAACCTTTCTGGCTTTTGCACCTTTGACTAAAGCTATTTTACATTATTACAAATCTGTTTTCCAGATTAATATAGTTTTACTTCATAACATATATCTTTATTTAAAGAAAGATTCAGAATGTTACTTTTCCAGTGAAAATTAGTCACCATACGACAAAACTGTTGAAAAAAACAAAATCTTAATATTATTCTTTCTAGCTCACAGCCAGGCGATACACTGTTTTATTACAAAAGGTTGACAGTAGATTGAACAAAACAAGTAATGCTTTGTTTTATTATTTCGCAGTGCCAAAGGCCGTGGCAAGGGCAAGATGGGCGGCAGGCTGAGGTAAACATGCAGCAACCCGAGGTGTACCAGGAACTCAGAAGACTGAATTTGTGTCATTCAAAGATGGACAGCAGTCACTCCATACCACTGTACTGTTTAACTGTACATGTAGCACATATAGAGACAGTAAAGACATCTTTTGTTGTATTGACACTCTCCTCTTCTCTTTTTTTCATTTAATCCAATAGTGTCAGTTTCACTGGAAATGCAGCATCAAATATGACTATTAAAAAGTCACCACTTTAGTTTAGTTGATGATTTTGATTATCTTCAATAGTGATTAATTCTTAAGTCATAAGCATCAAATAATTCCCCATCACTCTTTACTTTTCAGTCATAAAAAGATCTGATGATGAGGAGAAAATATTGTGGTGTTTTGATATTTTAAAACAAAACAGTTGCCCTCACCTTACCCCCAAGTTCACAGAAGACAAGGGGGTATGAAATTATCCTGAGACACTACAAGACATGACGTTGATTATAATAGTATAACTCAGAAAGTGCATCCCAGTAAAATGTCAGTCTATTCCTCATCACTCGCTCATGCATTACATTGAATGAGCCACTTGAGGGTGCTATGTCACCCAGGACTGACCAAACCAGCATCGATCAGACTTTTCCCTCTACTGCCAATAGGAGAGAACTGTACACTGGGTTTGTGAATCAGACACCTCAGCCATTTGAAAAGCATTAGTTGTACTGGTAAATGGAATAAATCTAACTCCTCTGGAAAAATGGTCTACAACAGTGAGAATGATAGTATATTCTTTAGACGTGGAGAGATCAGTAACAAAGTCAATAACGATATGAGACCAGGGACGACAGCATCAAGTAGTGATGCTGTCTCGGGAATTGTCCAGGTACGTATTTTTTGTTTGGGGGACACTGTTCAGGGACCTCCATAGTTTCTACCTGATCTATATCCTCATCCACCTCCCAACGGATGGGGGCTGCAATAATTTCAGAAGGTAAAACAGTCTCTGGTGTAGCAACTGCCTGATTCTCCTCATTAAAAGCACTGGATAAAGCGTCTGCCTTGGTATTATGAGTACTGGGCCTATATGTGATAGTGAATTTGAACCTACTGAAGAAGAGTGACCAACAAGCCTGGTGGGGACTGAGTCTTTTAGCTGACCAATAGTATTCTAAATTTTTGTGGTCTGTTAGCACGAGGAATGGATGTTCAGCACCCTCTAACCAATGATGCCACTCTTCAAAGGCAAGCTTCATGGCTAGCAGTTCCCTATCCCCAGTGCCATAATTATATCAGTTGAGGTGAGTTTATGGGAGTAAAATGCTACCAGGTGTAATATAGGCGGTGAACCCACATGCTGAGAAAGAACAGCTCCTACACCAACATCAGAGGCATCACCCTCCAACCACAAAAGGCTGGGTAGCATCAGGGCATTTTAAAACAGGAGCAGACATGAAAGCAGACTTTAACAAGTTAAAAGCTTTCTCAGCTTGGGGGTTTCAGACTAGCTGCTTGGCGTTACCCTTCAAAAGTGCTGTCAATGGGGCCGCTATAGAGCTATACCCACGAATAAATCTGCAGTAAAAGTTGGCGAATCCAAGAAAACGCAGTAAACCCTTAATAGAAGTGGATATGGGTCAATTCAGTACCACATCAACCTTAGAGTCATCCATGGTGACTCCCTCGGAACTGATTATGTATCCCAGAATGGATGTAGACCGCAAATAGAATTCCCATTTCTCCCCTTTTACGTACAATTGATTATCTAGTAACCGGGCCAAGACTGGTGTGGGAAGATCTAGGGAGTAAATCAAGATATCATCGATATAGGCGATGACAAATTTGCCCAGCATGCCTCTCAGCACATCGTTAATAAAGGCCTGGAAGACGGAACGTGCGTTAGAAAGGCCAAAAGGCATACCTAAGTATTCATAGTGCCCCCTGGTGGTGATAAACACAATCTTCCATTCGTCACCCTTTTTATTTCTGACAAGGTCGCAGGCACTACGCAGGTCTAACTTGGAAAAAACAGTGGCTCCTCTAAGCTGTTCCAAAGCTACTGGTATGAGTGGCAAAGGATAAGGACAACTCTTGGTAATTTGGTTAAGTCCTCAATAGTCAATGCATGGTCTTAGTCCTCCGTCCTTCTTCTTCACAAAAAAGAACCCAGCCGCTGTGGGTGAAGTGGAAGGACGGATGAATTATCCTCCTCCTGAGTAAGGGGGTAAACTTTAGATTTTGTGGGAACAGCACCCTCAATGAGATCAATAGAACAGTCATATTCACAATGAGGTGGAAGTTCAGTGGCTTTGTTCTTGCTAAAAACTGCTTTTAAGTCATCATATTCTGGGTGAATGGTTAAGGGTTGGTCAGAATTTGGACTTTCGATGGATGTGGAGTTTAATGCCAGTCTGGGAAGTTCGAGACATTGTTCCTGACAAAAGGGGGACCAACTACGGATCTCACATTCGGACCAGGAAATGTTTGCGTTGTGTTTGTGCAGCCAGGGTAAACCTAAAATCATTGAATAGGCCGAAGTGTTCAAGACAAAAAAGCTGATTTCCTCTCTGTGAAGAGCGCTGGTATACATAGTAACAGGTCTTGTGAGTGTATTGATGACACCTTCTCCAACTGGGTCTCCAGCCACCGCTGACAACCGAAGAGATGCTTAAAGAATCTCAACAGGAAGCTGGAGTTGCTCTACAAGGGATTTGTGGATGAAGTTTCCCTCTGCACTGAACTCCCTCAGTGGTGAGTTGCAGCAGTAGGGCTTGAGGATTTCAGCTGATCTAACCGAATAGCCAAAGTTATAAGTCGTTCTAACAAAAGATCATCATCTTTGCACGCCGGTTCTGCTAGAATGTCTGAGTTAAGTCCATTACGAAACGCGATGATAAGAGCTGGCTCATTCCATCCACTGCCAGCGGCTAACGTACAAATTTCCAGTGCATAAGCAGCGACGGAACAGTGCTGTTCCCTGCCATCACAGTTACGTATGTTGAATTTGTAGAATATGAACTGCGAATTTTTTTCACAAATCAGTCTGGTCAGTCTGAGCCTGGTTTCATTCATCTGAGAGCTCAGCTTTTGAAATGATATGCTTTAGAAAACAAAACCCCGATGAGTAATATTGGCGGATTTTGGTGTGGAACATGACGTCACCTGAATTCACAAATCAGGACTAACAAAACGCACCAGTGTTTGTGAATGCACCTTACTGCAATCTGGAGTTATAGCCAATAGAAACCCGAATTGCTAACCACAAGCCAACTTCACTGCGGTATAATAAGAATAGCCAAACACAGAGTCGAAAAAACAGGTGAGGGTTGTAACCAGAGAAGGCACATACACAAAACAACAAAGCCAAAACGGGAGCAAGAATTGGAAATGGGAAGAAACAAAGCAAGGTCAAACACGGAACAGCAATCAGATAATCAAACAGCTTGGTATGTACTGACGGAACAATGGCAATACTTCACAAAGACATGAACAAAACAGACTAGTATATGTACAGAGTTCAACAGGTGGTGGAGATTAGAATTCAGGTGACTGTGATCTCCCGGGTGGTTTGTGATTGGTTGAAGAAGTCTCATGACTGACAAAGGGATTCTGGGAAATGGAGTCCTTGATGGTATGAGTGTCCGACTGAGAACGAGGAAGCGTGACAAGAACTAATAGGAGGTAAGTCAGTACAATTCAAGTGAAGCTGTAAACTAGCCTACAAGGTTTACTCAGAATCATAAAACTGTTTGTTGCCTGCAACAATAAAATATGTTGTTCTGAAGGTGTTTAAAAACACTAAATCTAAAACCTGGTGGGAGGATTGAGATTTGGGTAGAATTAAACACATAGACTCTGCAGTGTGTTCTTGCAGTGGTAAGTCCAGGATTTTATACATGAGGTGGTACGGGGGGAGGGATGTGACAATCCAAAATTAATGAAACTCCTGTTATGCACTACTCACCTACATTTAAGAACAAACATCTACAGACTGAATCAGGTCCTGCATCAGGGTGAGGCAATGTCCCACCAGCCAATCATGTCCCACTAAGTGTGGGGGGAAGAGAGTGGGGGACTGGCAGAGAAAGTCTGAAGAATGTCTTTTGTGCATTCAAATCTGCAGCAGAACCATTTAAGGTTGTTGGTAAGTTGGCAAGAAGGGAAGTTTTTAGCACCAATTTTCACCAACATGTTCAACAAATCACTAGAATTTCGCTCTGTTCCCGCATGCTTTTAAACACCCACCATCATTCCAGTCCCCAAAAAATAATATTACTAGTAGCCAGTAGCCCTGACCTCTGTAGTCATGAAGGTCTTTAAACACCTGGTCCTGGCCCACCTGAAGGCCATTATAAACCATCTGCTGGATCCCTTGTAGTCTGCGTACAGAACTAACAGGTCTGTTGATGATGTGGTCAGCTTGGCCATGCACTTCATGCTACAGCATCTCGACAGTCCTGGAACCTATGCTGGAGTTCTGTTTGTGGACATCAGCTCAGCTTTCAACACCACAGAGCTGCTGCAGGCCAAACTTTCCCAGATGTCTGTGCCAGATCCCATCTGCCGGTGGATGATGGACTTCCTGACAAACAGGACAGAGCAGGTGTGGATAGAAGAACAAACGTCAGACCCCCAGACCCTCAGGACTGGTATACCATAAGGTTATGTGCTCTGACCCATTCTCTTCTGTCTCTCTACCAATGTTTGTGTCTCTAAAGAACCAGCTATGAAGATCCTGAAGTTTGCAGATAACACCACTGTGGTGGGCCTTGTAGCCAAAGAGAATAAGTCTGCCTACAGAAAGGACATCGTGCAGCTGGTCTCCTGCTGCAGAAGCAATCATCTGCTGCTCAACACACAATAGACTGTAGAGATGGTGGTGGGCTTCAGGCACAACACTCCCTCCCTACTACAACCTCCCTGCTCACCCCCCCAACAACAAAGGCTCTGTGGTTTATAGTTATGGTGGTGCCCGGAAACTTGAGCAAATCCACCATAACCAGGGACCTGAAGTAGGAGAGAAACACTCTCTACTATCACTACTATATACAACTACTAAGTCAGTTTAATACTGTTTTATCTTTTCATTGGGTTTAAACATTTGCTGCTGCAGGATATTACAGGATAATGATGCAAGATG